GATAATGAACATTATGGACAGTCTCGGGCCATATTGAAATTTGAGACAATCCATACATCCATTGTTGTGATATTGGAATCAAGCTTTCAGTAGTACTGAATACATGTATGATATGCAGATATTTCACAGGCTAAATAAGAATGACATTAAATTTCATGTAGTCATCCAAAATGATTCATTTTCTGATCATTTTAATCAGGCCTACAGTGGTGACGCACAAATGTCTGACGCAGCAGGATCAACATTGCAATCCATAGAGCAATGTTGCTTGTAAAGATGAATTGAAAAGATTGGATTCCCATGTTTGCTGCAACTCCTTTTAAATTCTGCCTAGTTTTGTGTGACATCTTACAACAGTGCCGTCATTAAAGGGAACAAGGACAATTCATTTGAACAATGGAGGGGTGTGTCTTAATAAAGTGGCCTGACTTTCTTAAGCCTTCAAATATTGTCAAGCAAACACTTGAGACTGAAGTGGAAAAAAATTCCAAAGGAGGCAGCTGTGGCTCAGTTAGTAGATTCGTTAATTTCTCATGGTCAGGGGTTCAATCCCTAGCTCCTGCAGCCACATGTCTGATGTGTCACTGGCAAGACACTTAACCCTAAGTTAGTGTATGAGTACTTCTGATGGTCACTTTACATAGCAACCTCTGCCATCAGTGTGAGAATGGGAAGGTGTGACCTGCGGTGTAAAAGTGCTTTGAGTAGTCAGAAGACAAAGAAAAGAGCAATACAAGCTCTAGTCCATTTACCATGATATCTGACAATGAAATACATAAAACTCCTGTGATAGAGCAGCTTGACTGGAGAAATAACCAGCCAAAAAAACGACTTTTGACTGTGACCAGAATCTTACTTGGAACTATTTTTGTACGTCTACTTGATATTGAATCAGTCAATAAGTATTATTCATGTGTTACTAGAGAAAATAAAAGCACAAGCAGATAAAGTCACCCCACTACTTAAGATCTCATGATAGCTTGAAACAATCCTTGTTGTTGTTGTAGTTGTAGTAATCGAAACAGTCAAAACGTCATCGGTACCTCTTAATGCATTATGAAAGGCATTCCTAACTGGATGTCATTTCCTGCACTTGTTTCTCCATTTTGACACACTAACCTACCTGTGCTGCTAAATGAGCTCTTATTCAAAGCTGTTGGCAAAATCTGGGTCAATAGAGCAGTAAACATGTGACACCGTGGGCTTGGAATAGATCGAGGATGATAAGAGTCTGGGAATCTGTTAAACCTGTGCTGTACACTCTCTTTTTATATACAATAGTTTTTAAGACTATATAGTATAAGGTAAAGGTCGGATAGCCAAACAAAAAAAAAAGAAGATATTTAGTCTAGATTTGTTTCCCTCGTTCCGTTGGGCGATCAAACTTAAACTCTGCAAAAAGTGTAAAGTAGAAGGTGTTGCTCATAATGATTTACACAAGCATATTTTTTAGGTTTTCTGGCAGACAGAAATACTCTTGGTTTGTTTTCTCACAGTGTCCTCATCAACCTTGTGTCTAGCCACAGTAAGCGCCCGTTAATGACTAGTTGATGAATGTAGTGGAGCATTTGGCTGCCGTGGAGACAGATTTCTCAATTAGGGGTTTTTGGAGACAATCGCAATTTACAGATTCTGAATTTCTATCCATTTTTAAATCTGTAAATTGGCCGATGGACCAAATTTTTGTAAAGGGAGCTTATTGGTTACCCTTTGCAGTCTGTATATAATTGTCTTGTAGTATTTTTCCGCGGGCATCTGCTGTAGGCAGCAAAACAGTTTAGGTGGAGAGCTAATGGGGCAGAACAAACCAAAGCCAACATAATGCAATCCTTGAACCCATCAGCAGTATTCTGATCAAGATTAAGCTTTCATTAATGTCTACAAACAAGCATCTGCATGCGGCTAGCAATCAAAGGGCAGATATGCAGGGTGGGATGAGGTGTATGTGCAAACACAAATGCACAAATAAAAAGCATATATTTCCCCTTTTAAAGACTTAAAAAAAGATGTCCAAAGTCTAATTTTTAAGTACAACCCCAGCAGTGAATAAAAACAGAAAGGGATGATTTGCAAAACACTGCAACCCAATAGTGTATTGGGAATAGTAGAAACAACATATCAAGGTCGAATATTCTAAATGTTCAACCCTTCAAAAAACACCAGCAACACTTAAAATAAAGTTGGGTAAGGTCATATTTACCCCTCTGTTGCATCACTTTTTGAACAACATAAGTGTTTTTGGGACCGAGGAGACCCATTTCAGTACCTTTGAATGTAGAATATGGCACCTCTCCACCTACAAGACCAACTGCCATATTTTGGTCCGCACTGGGATTTCAACCGGCGACCAAAAGGCTGGTGTCTGGCTACGCATCACGTTTGCAGCAGGTCATAACAGCAAAAGGGTGCTCTACGAAGTACTAAAGATGCTTGTCATAAAGGGGTTGAATAATTTTGAGACTGCAGCAGGCACTAAAAGTGGCATTTTGTGTTGAACTTAGAGAAACCACTGATATTATTAGTTGTGTTGAGCTATGTAAATTGTGCTTTTTTGATTTGTTCATTACAAGCAGCTGAAAGTTTGTAAATTTAGCCAATAAACCTAATTTGCAATGGGGTTGAATAATTTTGATTGCAACTGTATGTCTTTGTTGTGTTGGCAGCATGGAGCAAGAAAGTCATGAATGGATACATGCAGAATAGAAATGCACTATATTGTATGTGAATAAAACTTTAAGTGTGTACAGTTTGAATTCAGTCAGTGTTGATCAGTTCAAACAGCATGAAAAGAAACCGCATGTCTTTCTCTGACACAAATGTTTTCATAAGAGATGATAGTTCTCAGAGGAAGTGTTCGTTATCTCAAAAGCAAGACTGAGAAACCATTTGGAATAATGACTTAAATGTCATATTTCAGCCACAATCTCCTTACCATTTTGAACCTTTGCCAAAGAAATCTCTCTCACTGGCCCTCACTTATTAAATGTACGTACGGCAGAAAAATGGGTGTACGGTCATTTCCACGCAAAGTTCGGCACTTATCAATTTGGACGTGAGCGGAGGGTACGCTCAAATCCAACAGCAGGTCTCAGTTCGTGTACGCACGTTTTCAACTCAGTGTGGACTTGCGCTGCAGCGAATCTGTCTGTGTCGGAGAATAATTAGATCATACTATAACAGTGCTTGTTAAGACGGACAGATAGAGGTTCCCAGATTTACTGTTAGATAAGATATCTCAAATGTATTTTATATTACGCTCCACCTCAAACGATCTCTGTAGGCTACTTTGCTTTTTAAATAATGTGGAGCAGCGCGAGCTGTCAGGTGATTTCTTTAGTTGTGTGTTTTATTTGATTATTTTTTGTTTGTTTAATCGATTTACTTTTAAGATTAAAGATTAGAGAGGCTACTTTCAGTAAATACATGTTAAACGTTCATGCGCACAGGAATATCACTGCAGAAAATACCGAGACAAATTAAAACAGAAAAACTAAAAACAGTTACTTTAGCAGGACAGACAAACTTCCAGAGATACTAAATACAACTTTTAGCCTCTGAAATATGAAATATTTAAGAATACAGAACATCAACATTATCATAACTAATCGGTATGTCCGGAGATTAAAATAATAAATACGCTGATGTGCCACATGCGTAATTGCGCACAGCAGACGCCCTGAGGCCAGATACTACATGTGACATAATAACGAATAAAAAAATCAGGGGGCTGTAAGACGGAGTAAGGACCTTCTTTTATGTAAGTGTTAAATTCTTATGTTTGGAAAGTAGGCTAATCGGATGAGAAGTGCACATTGCACAGCATTTGATCAAACACTTTATTCATGTGATGCAGGACGTTTCAGGTTTCTCTTCTCTTTTAAAGTCTCATAAATGGTGAGCTGCTAGTGCAGCCGACGTTATCCGACACAGATGCAGGTTCGCCTGCACCACTTGTGCCTGATATTGAGGCTGACTGATGAAGGAAGCCACTCGCTCCACGATCTGGGATAATTTCAGGTGGGGTACGACTGGCGTCCTCCGGTCCGCTCCGGGAGACACAACACTAGGCTACATTGTAGCAATCGTATGGTCTGACCAGGTTTTTTAAACTAAAAGTATTTTTAAAAAATTAGATTATAGCCTATATTATGTACGTTACATATCACGGATGTTATATATTTTTTATATTTAAAAACAACGCTGTTGAGATTTCCATGCAGGCGCATTTCTTCTGAAGCTCTTCAATCCTACATTTCAGGCTGCCAAACAACATAATGTTATTCCTCTTTACTTTTCTCTGTTATGGTGTCACTCAGGTCATATCTCGTTTCTCTTCTTTGCCGTATTAAGTATCTCTATGCCATAAACTCTGGGAGCGAGGACGGCTATATCTGTATATATAGGGGCGTGGTATTTAAATGACGATCGTTTCCAGCCGCCACACTTATCAACACCCGGTCTTGCGTACGCCGTGATCAGCCAGATACGCAAGTTCCATAGGTCCCACGTGGACTCTGTCGTACGATGATTTCTACACCCAAATCTGCTCTGGTTTCTACACCAGATTGATAAGTGAGGGCCAGTGAGTCTAAATAAGTAAACAGTGACTCCTCTTTCTGACGTACAAGAAAAACCATTGTTTCCTTCTTGGGGACTCAGAAGATCAGTATGACACACTCAAATTGGAATGGGAAATACTTTGTTACCTAAAAATACAAGCCAGTGACATCAAGACACAATTCACTTTAATGATATTTTCCAGAGTACCTTAAGGGGATTACACAAGCTTGACTCAGAGGAGCTCATCTAGACAGTTTTGTGTCATATTAATAAACAACAGGGCTATGAAGTAAGACAAATTTAGATTTTGTTTTTAATTTTAATCTTCACACATTGTATTTGTATTTCAAATCTAATCTCATTTTTTATAGTTTTGTCATGTTTCCCTGGTTTGAATATTTGTCTTTTAACATGTGGATTCATCATGAGTGTTTCCATACCTCTTGTGTGCGATTGCTGTCCCCGGACTCTGTTAGCAGTTTGATTGGGGTGGAGCGCTGGGACACGGAGCCGTCATCGTCGCGGTCCTCCTCGGAGTCGTCCTCTGAGGAGCTGCTGATGGCCTCCTCACTCGGGGGAGGAGGTGCGCTGGCTGCTGTCTTCCTCTGCAGCAACGTCTCCTCCTTATTGCTCTTGTTGCTTCCAAAAGAAATGATAAAACGTACTAATTAACACATGAACACTGACAGATAGCTTAGCATGCAATCAGTTAAAAAGCCTGTCACATGATCAAATTGATAATCGCAAATAATCACATTTTTAATCGCATGCTTGAAATTCCATTATTTCGCATCTAAAAATCAGAATAGTTAGGCGGCCTATGAATGGATTATTTAATACTGATGGACACTTTACATAACAGCCTCTACCATCAGTGTGTGCATGGGTAGGTGTGACCAGCGGTGCACAAGGGCTTTAAGTAGTCAGAACGATGGAAAAGCGCTATTCAAGTTCGATTTACCATTTTACTGTCTTAAGATGAGAGTACTTTACTTGCCGTTTGAATTCAAGTCTGCTTTTATTTTGACTAAAGTATAGACCTTCAGGTAGATTGAAGATTACGATATGATACGACACGATATGATGCGATACGATACAGTAGGACACAATATGATACGACACGATATGATGCAATACGATACAATACAATATGATCCCATACGACACGATACGATATGATACTATATAACACGATACAATATAGTACGATGATAGGATACAATACGACACAATATGATGCAATATGACACGATACAATATGATACGGTACAATATGATGCGATACGATACAACACAATACGATACAATAGGATACGATACGACACGATGCAATATGATACGATATGATATGATACTATATAACATGATACAATATGGTACGATATGACATGATAAAACACGATACACTTTATTGTTCCCTTGGAGAATTTAGTCTTGGACTCAAAAGTGCTGCCACTAGAATCAATAAATAAAAAACTATAGAAAAACACAAACACATCCACCATGCATTATTTTTAATAAGATTTTTTTTTTTTATTATAAGATTGGGATTGAGAGTGTTTTAAAGACTAGATAGCACATGATAAGGAAAGCGCTTTTTATGCTTCGGCTGCTACTCCCTTAAGAAACCTGACTGATAACTGTAGGACACACTGAAGTGCCTCTTTTTATTCCTCAAGTGTACACTGGCAAAGAAAAGGCTGGCTGAGTCACTGCCTGTTGAGAACGTTCCGGAGATAAAATGATATTCTCCATCAGTCCATACTTCTCCCTAGTCCATGTGATGGCTTCTGCAAGTGGAGCCAGAATGTGCCTCATTGTCCCTGCAGCTTGGTTTTTAATAGACAGCTCTAGTAAGTGCCCACTTACCAATGCTGTTGTGAAAGCTAGATGCTGTCTTACTTTTCATTTGAGGGTGTTAGAGTTGTAAATGCTCTGATACAAGTTTTTCCATCCCAAATACTTGTTCTGGATCTAGACTTCAGTGTTGTCCAAAAACCTAGAACCCCTTCGATACTGATTTGAAAAATACACATAATGGTGGAAAACAATTATTCTCTACTAGCACCAGAATGTTGTTATTTGTCACATGATGATTAATCGAAAACCAAGTGATTATTTGGGGGCTAATAAATTACAGTACTGGATCTGAGAGTTGCGTACTTAGATACATGATACCACAATTTAGACTGTAGTGGAGGTCAATACCAAGTTAAATCACACAGACATGATTAAGATCCACTTTAAAATCCCAGGGTCCAGTCCCTACAGAGATCTCAGGTTCCCTTTCATGTAATCAGGAACAATTTTCCATGGAGCTCCTGAGCTCTCTTGGGCTCCCTCTGTTTGTCCTTATCCTTCTTCTAAATCTCCCTCTATCCCATTTTCAAGCTGAGCACAGTTTCTGCAAATGGTTGTTCATTATGGACCTTGTTTTTGCCCAACATTTTAACCTGTAATAAGGAAGTTTTTTCTTGCCAATTTGACTTTGCTAAATGTAGCTTTGTGCTCCTGATGGATTAACGTTGGGTCTTTTTTTAACATAACAATGAATAAGGTAATTTACCTGCTTTTTGTAAAGTGTTTTGAGATAACATTAGTTATGGATTGGCGGCGGCGCTATACAAACAAAGATTGATGGATATAATTCCATAAGATTATGTTTTATATGAGGAAATATTGAGGAGAGCCGAACCTCAAAGTAATGCCTAATAGTAATTTTATGATAGTTCTGGGTTATACTAGAAGAGGAACTACTATAAGCAAGAAAAAAAGGCTTTTTCTAATAATCTGGGTATTCTCAGTCAAATCACAGCTCGTTGCTTTTATGGTGCTCTTATTTTGTAATGTCAGAACAATCTTGCAACAAAACTTTTTCTTTGGAATATTAAAGTTCTGTGTTACCGAACGTTCCATAACATATACAGTAATATCTTATTTCTTTGTCTGTGAAGAGACACTAGTGATTTTATGAGCTGATGAGATCACAGACACCTGGCTTGTTGTTCTTGGGTTGATACCAAGCATGACAAGATGATTAAGGAGATCTGAAAGAACTACAATTTACAAAAACCAGGGAGAACCAGCCGATTCTCCAGCTTCAAGACGTCTGAAGAGAGAGGACTGTGTGCATTTCTCTGCTCACCATGTTGCTATTGTGAGCTGGCAATGGCAGGTGACTCAGAGGAAGGATGAATGATTGAACTTGAATGACTGAATGTAGAGATGTGCTGTGTGTTCACATTTGTGTCCACGTGCTGGTTTTTTTTTATATATTTATTTTGGACTGTCGTTCTATCACACCTGGAGCAGCGTGCAGTCATTTAGCAAAGTGCTACTGGGAAACAAGAAGAAAAAAAATAACCTCAAATTAAACACACAAAAAAAGGCAGCCAGATTATCTCTTTATGTTTTTGTTTTTTTCAGGGCTAATGTGTGTGACTGGGAGGTGCACAAACCATTATCACGTTTTTTTCTGTGGAGGCTAAATTAAAACCTTGTGTTGTGTGATTCATTCAAAATGTCAACTGGAACACTGCACTTCACCCAGAGATGGCCTTAAGCATCTGGAGACCCATTTCAAGAGCTGATAAGAGAATCATCAAAAAGTACTTTGGTAGTAGTCAAGTTATTTGTAATGGTTGTTTATGCAATCTCTAAAAGTAATAGTTAGAATTGATGTTACAGATGTTCATGGATAATAATGAAGATGCAGTTCATAGATACAGAACGATGCCTGTGGAAAAGGTTTTTGGATTGATTAGATTTTAAATCGTAAATGATCGTAAATTTAGATCGTAAATGGAGCTACTTCAGTCTCATGTTCATAGTGTGCTGTCGCCTTTTTAGTTGCACTGACACTGTATGAACCCTCAATGGTCGATTGATTAGGGTGAAGTGGACCCAAAGAAAACTAAGGACCGGTTCATGAAAGTTAATGTGGACCCACATAAGGAAAGAACAATCTTTGAAGGAAAACGTTGAAACATACAAACAGAACATTAGAGTGGCCGTGTGAGGTGCATTAGAGGTCATGCTGTGCTGCAATAATATGCACTTACGACGGATTATATGAACACACACACACACACACACACACACACACACACACACACACACACACACACACACAACAGAGACAAGAGAGACAGGAACAGAAGCTTGTTTTTGGTTAACTGAGAACATATTGTAAAAAGATGTGCACAAGGGCATGCTGACATTGGTTTAATTAGAGGATAATAAAAAAAACACTATTAAGCACATGTACAAAGGCTAACATGATCTCACCCAAGCACTGATTTTCCCGTTTCCTCCGGTTTGCGGACCGTGAATGGGCTCGGATCCACTCCGACCGTCTTGGGCATAAATTCCCTTCATGACCACAAAAAGAGAAGGACATCCATTAGCTGTGATCCTTCAGCACCATCCCAATAACAACATCATAATAAAAACTTTGGTACAGTATATTGTGTTTCAAATCGTCATAATCTGGGGCAACTCAGCAACGTCAACACTGCAGAAAAAGTGAACTTGAACAAAATCTTTGATTGTGAATCCAATTGTCTTCAGGGATTTATATGTTTGTGTGTTCACCTTGCAGAGTTAGTCATGGCGATGCAGAATGTGTCATCAAAGGAGGTGAGTTCATATGGTTTGAAGAATTCAGTGTAGATGTCAATGCTCTCATCGAAGCGGTTCACCCTCTTCACTTTGACCTTCTTCATGGTGTCCTCACAGGGGACTGCAGCCACACAAGAGAACAGAAGTCACGAGCAAAACCAAATATTAACAAGACATTATTACACGTTTAACAAGTATAAGACAAGACGCATGTTGTCAGCGCATTAAAAAAAAGACCAACTGTAAGGGTTAAAGATATCAAGCATTCCCTTCGCACCCACTGCCTGATAAAGCATAGTCCTCCAAGTCATAAAGCTCAAATTAATGTACATAGACAGTTAAAATCACAGCAATAAGCCACAACCTTACATTGGGTTCCATGCTTTTTCACTATTCAAAAAAATGACCACTGTGGAATATTCTGAAAGCCTCAAATTAATCGTTTGCAGCTGAAAGGACTGTTCAATTTGCTTGTGTTTGAATAATACAATGCCAAGCTGTTTAGGCTTTTTTCAAGTAAACAAAAGTTAAACTGTTGTCCCTTTTCATAACCACCGAGTACATTTGTACCACCATGTCAAAATGTAATTTGAAATGACTAAATCCATGCAAACTACTGACATTACTATTAGCTCCAACTGTATTTTTTTTCTTAAGAAATTATAGTTTGTTTATATGCAAGGCTATAATGATGATGTGATCAACAGTATACCTGCTAAACATGCTACATGTTAGCAGTTAGCTGGAATCACTGTCTTAAGCATTGACATAAAACCTACGACTCCACAGACCAAAGTTATGGAAGTTATAAATCTCTGAGAAACAGGCATACACTGTTCACTTTTCTATGTCCCTGTTACAAGTTGAGGACATTTTTTTTTTAAAGAATATATTGAGTGGGTACCTTCATCATAGGGCACAGGAAGGTATGACAGGATTCCTTTTGACCACCATAAAGTGTAGCTGGAAACAGAGAGACACAAACGTATTTGTCACATATTATGAAAAATACACGTTACAATGTTTTTCTAACACTAACATGTGTCTCTAGCCTGTCGAGAAACCCGCCAATTATGTTAAAAGTCCATCCTCTCCATCTTTTGTCTGCTCCACTTTTCAGAAAATGTGTGCTCAAACAGGCTGTTTGGAGATTTCCCCTTCACGACATCACAAAGGGCAGTATCCCCAGTATCCCCCTAGTTTGTTCTGTCCTCTGTGTCGGCCTTCTGACCATAAACAATAGGACATGGAGCGAGAAAGCCCGAGCCAACCAAACCCTTCAAGAGAGGGGCGTGGTCAGACACAGCTCATTTGCATTTAAAGCTATACACACAGAAACAGCCTGTTCTGAGCATGGCTTAAATATTGGGGTTTATAGGCTTTATAAAATACAGGATCAGAGTGGATTTATAAAGATAAACGTCACACATGTTTTGGGGACCTTAGAGACCTATTTAAACTGGGTGAAAAAGGAGGAGAATATGTGACCTTTAAAACCGTGCAGAAACTTTTCACTGACTGTTTCAACGTTCTGCAGTCGACACTTTCTCATATTTCATCATATTTCTCATCATTTCACATAACCTAGATATGAAAATGGATTGTTTGGACCACCTACTGTAAGCCTCCTGAACACATCAGCCTTTTATTCAATATAACTCATTTGAGTGAAGGCACTGATAATTACTCAGCATGTGGTGCACTACTAAGGTGACTTTTAGAAAAAAAAGCCCAGTGTGTGGCTTTCTCAATTGAATTCAGTTTACTTCATGCTAATTTCTTTGGAATAATGGATGACCTACCTTTGCCCATTGTGGCTACATAAACTAGTGGCATGTAGCAGATAACTGGGTCAACTTTTTATGTAAGCATGAGGACAAAAAAGAGTGAACAACTTGCAAAGACGTAAACTCCCACGCGTTTGTACCCAAATGGGCAGAAACACAGTACAGCGGAGAAAAGTAAGAATGGAACACAAAAGTCAGAATAATGAGAAAAGATAGATATCCTGATAGATACGTTATGACACACATATGTGACAAACAATCCAATCCATTGGTCCCCATATATGCATGATACATTGACAGTAAATTGAACAATGTTGTTGAGTGAATTAGACTTATATTTGTATAAGTGATGTACTGATAATCAGCATGCCTGTGATATTAAACTGTTCTACAAAAAGCATACAATAGTCAAAGTAGTAAACTACAACAGATTATTGTCTATGCTCTTCCAACTTAAACAGTTCCACAACTTGACATGCATTTGTATGTTTGAATGCATTATGCAACCAGAAATAGTAAGAGTCTGTTATATAATTCAGAGGTACCAGCTTTAATTAGGTAAGACATTTACTGTCAGCTGTACGGTTCATTAACTGTATTCAGAAAATCTGGTTTAGGTGGAGTGATACACGTAAAATATGTTCCAATCCAGCGGTATCATCCATCGAAGGACCCAGACTCTGAGTACACAGCTCAGGCCTAACTGAAGTGAGATTGTCTGGTCTACAGAGGATTTCCTGTTTGTATCACTAGCTCTATCCGACCTCACATCTCTGTTACATACCGTAGGGCAGTTCCGGGTGCCAAACATCTTTGACAGCATTTTTTTTTTTTTTTAAACATTTCTATTTTTTCGACTGAGTCTTAATAACATACATTTAAAAGACTATAACTCATCTGCTTGGAAATCGGCCATCTCCTTTGAATTGGTAGGCAATAAATATCAGGACATGTTGGACCACGAAGGATGCCCCCGGATGCATCCTCGTGTTGTGCTGAACTCTCAGGGCCACTGTAAAACCACTGTTTACAGAAAAGTGGCTGCAGAAATGTGGCCCTCGTATTGGGCAGGAAGTGGCAAACAAACCTGAGCAGTGCCAAACACATAATTACACCTCAAGGTCACATATCTGTGACCCTTCCCCAGGTAAAAAGGAGGTTTAATAGCAGCCATTTGAACACAAAAGCATTTAGAGAAAGCGTTCATCCATACACACGTGAACAGCCTCAGCACCAGTTGGAGACGTGTACATCCTGAGCTGATAAAAAAGAAACTCTTTATAGGCAGCAGAACAAGTGCTGATCGGTGAGAGCGACTTCCAACTGAGCTATTCGACCAACACAAAAACGAACACACAACACACATTCAAATCATCAAGAGCAACTGACAGAGGTATTGAATGTGTGTGTGTGTGTTTTAAAGTCACATCAATTTCTTGGTGCCGGTGTGTTTGTGTGTGTGTTTGTGTGTTTGTGTGTTTGTGTGTGTGTGTGTGTGTGTGTGTGTGTGTGTGTGTGTGTGTGTGTGTGTGTGTGTGTGTGTGTGTGTGTGTGTTTACCTGCGTCTGTCTTGGGGGAGCGCCATGGAGTTTCTCTGGTGCAGATAGAAGTCAGTGGGCAGCTCCCAAAGGTGCGGCTTGGACTCAGACGGCTGGTAGACCTGAAGAAACAGGTTGATGGCGTCCTGTCTGTCAGCATCTAAAGGAGCAAGATGGACACAGATTTAAAAAAAAAAAAGTGAAATTCTAAAGGCATAACTTAGGCTCCAAGGGCAGGTTGAGGGGAGTAATTTGTTGAGGGGTTTGTCCATTTTAGATTTCTTTAACACATAAGGGTCTATCTGAGTAATTTTTGCATCAAGAAAGAATACAAAAATACTTTAAGTTGAAACAATGATTCAATAAATCCTCTACTCTCTCAACAGATGATTCATCTTCAGCTGCATGGATAAACAATTCTTGACTTTAGTCAGATTCCTGATGTTCACATATGTTCCCATTAGGGCTGTCAAACAATTGAAATGTTTAATCCAGATTAATCGCATGTTTGAAATTCCATTATTTTGTATTTAAAAATAGAAATTGTAATGCTTTTATTTTGAATGTTTGTACTGTCTTGAGCTGAGAGCACTTTACTTGCTGTTTGAATTCTGCTTTTATTTTGAAATAAAGTAAGACCCTTCTGGTACATTGAAGGTTACGACATTAACTTAACCACAGGAAAAGCTAAAATGAACGGTAAAAGTGTGAAATGTTTGATGTCATGAGGATGTCACTTTTGACTTGTCGAATAAGCCGCCAAGAAGTTTTTAAAGTGAAATGAGACATTCTACTCCATCACTGTGACTACAGGGAGACACTGCGGAGGCTTATCTATGGTGCGCCTAAAGGGACAAAAAGGGCATGCGATTAATCGCCACAAAAAAAAATGATTCAATCATTTATGACCTTCATTAATTGTGATTAACTAAATAATGCTGACAGCCCTAGATTCCATACATACATGTTAATACACTTGATCAACCAAATTTGTATGCGTCCTGTTGTCACCAATCTCCCTTTGTTTTCCTGCAGCATCTGAAAATCCCTCATGGAATCATCGCATTTCCCTGATTAATATGTATTTATTGTTATATACATTTTTTGCCTTTAATATTTATTATTTGTGTTGTGGTTGATTTCTATCTACATTACGTGGGTGTGTCTCAATGTGCAGGTGCTTTAAATTGTGCTCTGTCATTTTAACTGTTGAATATAATTTGAAAAATGGAAGTGTTTTGTCCGGCTAAGTGAGCTTACAAGTTCATCAGCTTGGAGTCCCTGCCACTGAAAACCAGTGAAGTAAACTCCCCTCAAATCCCCTCTTGATTATAACCTACATTTGAAAGTCCATGAAACACTTTACCTGACCAGTAACAACTCTCTGAACTACCTCACTGGAACGTGTTTGTCTTTGGGAGCATGCTCAGATAATCTCTGTGAGTGTTTGTGTGTTCAGCATGTGGCACGTGTTTTGCACGATGCCCAGTTCGGTGCCATTTAATCCTTCCCACAACTGTGAGGCCCCGTGTGTACAGCTCCAATAGTCACGTTGGATAATTACAAACTAAATAGGCTCCTATTAGAGTCTGCAACCAAGACTTTTATTTTGGTCATTTTCAGCCAGAGATTCATTCAATACATGATGAGAGAAGAGTTATGGATATTATGTGAACATTATTATGATTTTTAAATAAAATGCATGCAGTGAAGAATTGTCAACAGGTATGTTTTGTTTGATCCCACTTGCCCTCCTTTCAATGGTCTCATGTTTGTAAGTCAGAGAGAAGCTGTCAGAGATTCAAAAGTTAACACAATTCCCTGTGGAAGGATGATTGGATTGTATCTATGGATTAAGTAGAGAAATTAAACTGAAAATGTTGATTATGAGTTTAAATGAAAACAACAAATGCCTATCACACTTCTTGAATGACATTTGCAAAACCAGGTTATTTTTTTCAGATTAAGAAAACAAACTTGATTCAGACTTGGTGCTTTCTTCAGATAGTCCTTGGTGGTGAAAAACCACAGAAGCAAGGCTTACATGGTGCATGTACGAGTTTAGGAATGTTTAAAAAAAAGAATTGGTATCAAATCTGATACAGAAGATAAAAACTGATACTTTTAAAGACCGTTTTTTCAAGTCATGTATTGTTTTCCACTATCGCTAGTAGAATGTTGATTTAGTTGAATTACTTCACTTTCTTAAATGGTAAAAAAAAAAGACAGTGTACCGGTACTTAAAGGCAGTGAGGCTCTGAGCTAATGCTAATGCTAACAAGATCATTATAAAATGCCAACATTCATGTATAAGTTTACTGTAATAACTATCTAATATAAATAACAACAATATTACACATCTATGTGTTTTTATATTAGTGCTAAATATAAAGTACTGCTGAATCTGATCACGTTGATTAAGATAGTTTGGGCACGATTCAAAGTTTTCGGCCAAATTAAAATTGCAATAATCTTATTAATTTTAACAAATACTTTTTTACCTACTGCAATTGCACTTTATAACGACTCCCCTTTAAGAAAGGACAGAAGACATTTAAACTTTTAAACTTTAGCCTGAGTTGCATATATCATATATCAAACTATATTGTGGGCTCATGTTTTTTTGTATGGGTGGGATATGTATGTATATACGTGTTGTGTTGTGTGTTTGTATGTATGCTGGCTGCTGGAACACCTAAATTTCCCTGCTGGGATGAATAAAGTATATCTTATCTTATCTTAAACCACCAAATATAAATTTCAATGTGACAAGAGAGATGTGACTGAAGGCTCATGAATAGCTTGTGTCTCAGATATTTCATGGAAATACAGTCATGGATAAGAAGATGAAAATGGTTGTGTGTACCAGGCTGACATCAGGCACTAGTTTCTAGTTTTTACTTTTCTTTGCCCTCATATATTCTCTTGATGTCTTTGTAAGAGTACAGGAGCACAGGTGAGCAACTGGGGAACCAACTTCTTCCTCAACCATTCCGGATCGTGAAACAGGGTTGAGTCATTGCGGTACCAAGATTGAAGTTGGAGGGGTATCTAGTACTTGTGGCCATTTGATCTGTGTGTGTGTGCCCTACATTACAATATACGGACTATACGGGATTAAGGCACACAAAGGAGGTCAAAGAGAACTACACTATTACACCAGATTTACTTTATCTCTGGCTCTACAAATGCTACCCTTTGATGGGGCACATGTACTTGTGTGTTCTGAAAACTTGTGTACACCTATTAAGATACCTACAAGGGTGTCATTCAAAACGAAGTTCAAACGACAGCAACTTTTTCAAGCATTGAGAAATGAGACCTCAGCTGAAGCTCCTTCTAACAACAATATCTTATTAGGATCTTTAAAAAAAAATAGCCTATTCCAGGCACCTTTGTATCACATATTTTGGATTACTTATGAGGTAAAATATGACAGTATAATGTTTAAAATTTCTGCTGATCTTACAAGATGGACTGTGATCCCCATCCTCCTATTTTATTTTTAAACTCTTCCTTTTATACCACCAACAAATAGTATTACAATTTAAGATCCTCTTATCTAAAGCATTTGGAGATGTCCATGTGTCAGATATTAAAGTTTTACAGATGTCTAAACAACTGGGATGGTGGGAACTCCCTACTCCGAGGCACTTACTGTATGGTTGGCCTTTCAGTGAAGGGCTCTGACCATCAGGATTTCAGACAGGGTGGATACAAGGTGACTTCAGATTGAGAAGTTCACCTGTTGTCAATTCCTCTGAGGAAACATTCATTTTACTGAGGATAAAACCATGGAAGAGACCCTTGCTAGGTGGTCCAAACACACTCTTTCCTTAGTAACATATCAACAAGATCAAGTATTGCTTAAAGGGATACTTTGCCATTGAAACATGAATCTGTATTGACATTGGGTCATATATGTAGTAGAAATGCTGGTGCCTTCTTGGCTGAGAAAAGGCAGAAAGTGTCTTTTTGGCCTTTGTGGATGAAAGACACCAAATCCCAGAATGCACAGAACCGCAGGCCACTCCCACTAAGGTCAGTTTTACAGACATATTTACTTCAACCATAGACTGTAAATATTACAACTTCAACACATAAGGCCGTTTCCTCAACTGATGTTGGACATTAGTAAGGATGTCTGGGTAAATATTTCCTCAGAAACTCATAAAGTCACTAAGGCAAACCTGTGGAGGGAATTATGGTGGAAAACAGTTAACTGATTTATTGGTAACCATTTCAAAATGCCTTATACTTAGAAAGATATCATGGCTAGAAGTGGTGGACAGACCTCAACTTGCTGGGTAAATTGTGGTGCTGTACTTGTTTATAACATGGATACAGGAATGGGGATGGGATGGGTTGTTAAGGTTGCAAAATTTGATCAAGTACTTGTTATAGTTGCTGATGTGTGTGTCATCTGTTTGTTTACATGACTTTTTCATGGTTGCTATTGTTACAGTTTTTTCTATCTGCATTGACATAAACTGAAAAAGGTTTTGAAAGATAAGATATAAACGACACATACTGTCCTGCATTTCTGCAGTCAGTGTCTGTGTAACTCACCAGAGAAAGCATTGCTGTAGTATCGCGACAGTGTCTGCATGATGTCCTTGGAGTGTTGTGTCCAGGGAGCGATCTTGCGGTAGGTTTTGACCCTGTGGACCAGCTGGGAGCCGCCGTACTGCAGCGACAGTGTGTCTCCATGGTCCTCATAAAGCTCCTCAAACAGCCTGTCACACACACACAGTTGAATTATGTCCCTAAAGTGTCAATTTTGCCTTTTTTGTTTTTTTGTTTTTATTTTTGCTTTACCTCACACAATCAGTGTCAAACTGGAGTTTGGGCTTGTCAATCATTCCCAGTGCGTAAAGCTGATAGGCCAGGGCACACTTTCCCACCATGAACTGGGCGGTGTTGGTCCGATCGAGACAGTCCACGCAGTTTGTCCGCAACACACCGGTCTACAACAACAAAAGACACAATAAGCTCACTGAAACCACTTGTTTCCCAGAGTGAGAAAAAAACCTACATTAAGAGGCAATTGGTGGCATCACAACATGTATATATACCTTCTGTAGGTGGTGGCAATTAAATGAGGGCAAACAGCTTAGATAACTCTAAACAGATCATCGTATACATGTTCAGGGTTTTCATGACAACACTGAAAAACCTCTCATTATCACCCGAATGCCTAGTTGTTTCAGAATGCTATGAATGCTGAGCTCCTTATCAATAAACGTTATGGACAAAAGGCGTTTCCTATCAAACGGAAATGATTGGGTTTAAGTACCCTTTATGACAGACGTCACTCATATTTTTTGCCTTTTCCTATGTTAAAACCTCCAATTGAGTCTCTAATTTGAGATTAATATTTGATACCTTCCAAAAAACTAAATAACAACGAGAGGTTAGCTAAACCTGTGTGCCTTGAGGCTTACCTGCACGTGTCCACTGGCTATGACATGTCCACCTAAATCTCCCCACCTGAAAAGAAAAATGAATCATTTAATTCAACTGAGAGAAAAACACACATTAAACGGACTAAAGCATTAAAGTGGCACATGGCAAACCCTGCTAATGTTCAGGCCTTTTTTTCTCACTTTTTCCTGCATCATGTGGTGTGATATGAGCTGTTTATATATAGTACCATATATAGTGCCGACAGTCAAACATAGTGAGGCCTATTAGAGCCACAAGTACAGTGAAATACATCGGCTCACAATTTCCAAACAGATCACATTTCCCATCCTGATTTATATGGTGTACATCAGAGAAGGCAAACGCCCCTTTATAAAAGAACAAATCATTCAAATTCATTAGCATTTCGCTTTTTATCCCCTGGTTACGGCCGCAAACTTCCTGGTGTTATGGTCTAAGTGAATGACACGCCCCCCTTGCACGCAAGTTAAGGATTTTTCAGTTATATTTATGGTCTTGCTCTTGTCTTGGTCTCGCCCTGCCTTGGTCTTGAGTCTGTCTCGATCCCTAAATGTGTTGGTCTTGTCTTGGTCTCGATTCCTAAATGTCTTGGTCTTGTCTTGGTCTCGATTCCTAAATGTCTTGGTCTTGTCTTGGTCTCGATTCCTAAATGTCTTGGTCTTGTCTTGATCCCTAAATGTCTTGGTCTTGATCCCTAAATGTCTTGGTCTTGATCCCTAAATGTCTTGGTCTTGATCCCTAAATGTCTTGGTCTTGTCTTGGTCTCGATTCCTAAATGTCTTGGTCTTGTCTTGGTCTCGATTCCTAAATGTCTTGGTCTTGTCTTGTCTTGGTCTTGGTCTTGGTCTTGTCTTGGTCTTGATCCCTAAATGTCTTGGTCTTGATCCCTAAATGTCTTGGTCTTGATCCCTAAATGTCTTGGTCTTGTCTTGATCCCTAAATGTCTTGGTCTTGATCCCTAAATGTCTTGGTCTTGTCTTGATCCCTAAATGTCTTGGTCTTGTCTTGGTCTCGATCCCGAAATGTCTTGGTCTTGTCTTGGTCTCGATCCCGAAATGTCTTGGTCTTGTCTCAGTCTTGGAGCTGGTATGTCTCTGTCTCGGTTAGTGTGGTCTTGACTACAACACTAGGTCTTGCACAAAACCCCCTTCATGACGAAGCGTTATTGCTGCCGATAAGGCAACATTTTGTAATCTTTTAACAGATCACTGCTAGCTATTTACCTCATTCTTATTAAAGCTATGCTACGCTAAGTGGCAGTTGGTTAACGTTTTTAACAAAGCATACAGGTCTGTTCTTTTTAGTTCTTTACTCCCATTTCAGTCCGATACTTTCACTTATCACTCACTTTGATTTTAAAGTGCATCTGAAAAAAAAGCAGCTGCAACATAAGAGTAAAGGTTCGAAGGAAAAACACACTAGTTGTGGAAAAGCTGATTTTAAACAACTGGATCTCATTGGTGTTTGTACTAAAACACCTCTGTGATCATAATCAAAGCATGAAAATGTCCTAGGAGAGAAGAGACTGGTATATGAGATACTATATACACTGAAGTACATCTATTGAACATGAAGGCTGATTGAGACTTTTGTTTTGTGTGCATTTCACTGCACATGTGCCTGAGTGAGAAGCAGGAGTGTAGAACAAAGAATGCATTGGTTCTAACTAATGGAGGGTGATGAATACTGGCTATGGTGTGGTCGTTGGGTTATGTAACAGAAACATAATGTTGGGTGAAAGAGATTAAGACACGCCGACAATGGAAGAGCCAAGCGTTAAGTGCATGGACGGCAATCTACTCAGCTCATTAGCAGGAAACTCTCACAGAGGCAGCAGCCATTGGGCATAATTTCCATTAAGAATTTATATCGGGAGGGTTTTCGAAATTAGGCAGTGTCGATAAATGTATGATTCTGAATATGTATGATCAGAAAAAATTATAATGTAGCCTTCCATAGTAGACAAAAAGTCTGATATGCAAATGCAGGGATGATGGTGGTGTGGCCGAGCGCATGGTTTGCATGGTTTGCATGGTTTCCCCCACTTTTCCTTCCGTCACTGCTGCACATTCTCTTATTAACTTCTTATTTCAACACTTCCAATAGCTAAAAGTGTGTCTCACCTGTCATCTGGTCTGAGGGTGTGACAGTAGAAGTCGGGCCGATTAATGAAGAAACCTGTCCGCTTCACTACGTTTTCTGCTATCATGCTCAGACGGTCCAGAACATTGCACAGCTTACTAAAATACAGAAAAGAGAATGGATTAAAGAAGTATTTGCTCAAGAAATAGACGCAGTAGTATGTTGTGTTTTTTGCATCTGTAGCTGAGTTTAAATTGTTGACAATACATACAGTATTTGGCTTTTGTAATGTGTCACATACACAAACATATTAAGGACAAGTTCTGGGGTTACCTTATAGAGCTTTCACACAAAAAGCCAAAGTACAATAAGACATTTCACACAGCCAACTCATTATTTCCAATAGAGAGAGCAGCTTTGGTCTTCTGGGTGGCACATAGAATTTACAATTTATTGTAGAGAAAATTTTTGTGTCATTAGTCAGTGTTCTGTGGTTTGACCGCTTAACATATACGGTAATCTGCTGTTTGTGCCGCACATGCTGCATTATGTCCCATTTTGAATCTGAGCTAACTACACAGGCAAACCTCTTAGTGTAGCGTGCCATGTCCCAGGCGATGTAGTCGATCCAGTTTTCTGGAGGGAGGAACTGATTCAGGTTGGTCACAGCCGGGTAAAGCTCTTCACTAAGAATCTTCTCGTGTTTCCTCTTTTCTCGTTTCTGAAGAAGAGACACACGCATATTAAACGCATGACCATGAACTAACAAAACCTTATTCTAATGCCTCTGTGTGCTGTTATAACAGACATCCAAACACATACTGTGTAGTTATACATGAGACACATGCAGTTTTCTTTGATGTATTTGCAATGATCCATTCAGGTATTATCCACAGTGCCCTCAGAGAAGAATAAAAGCTTCAAGAGACAATTAAGTGGATCCATATGCATTAGAACATGAATAAGAATGGGTACATGAAATAGATGGGGGAAATATAATAAGAGATGAAGCTCTGCAGGGAATGTGTAGATTGTAAGGTGCAAAGAGGTGGACTAAGGCACAAAATAGCTTTTGCATTAAGAATCCTATTGCAGTCAAAAAGTCTGACAGACCTAACTGCTGCATAGTTGAGGGAAAGCTTTTTTCTTTTTCTACATACTGTATGTCACACAAAATCACTGTCGTATTGTTTAACTGCTAAATTAAAGCATTACCCTGCTGAAGTAAAACTGGCAAGTTAGCGAGCAAGAAAAGTTCTTATTTTCATTATTATAAAGCATCTTTCCATCGATCAAAAAAAAGATTTGTGTTTTTAAAGGAGAGAACACAAAATGAGACTGTTAATTAGATCAAACTAAACTAATTAACCATTTAAAAAAAAAAAAAAAAAAAAAAAAGCATGGACGTAGACTCAGTGATGACACCCATTGGCTGAAGGGTAGCTTTGAAGCCCAACGGTAGCGGCCGCCATTTTGGAAATGCTATCCCACATTAAGTTTCAGTCAACCTAGCAACAGGCAAAGAGATGGAGCTGAGGTGGGCTTTAAACCTCCTGGTAAACAGCTACAACACTACCTGTCAGTCAGATCAACCACTGCCCTAATTATGCATAACTCTTAGCCTTTTTTTTTTTGGAAATGCTATCCCACATTAAGTTTCAGTCAACCTAGCAACAGGCAAAGAGATGGAGCTGAGGTGGGCTTTAAACCTCCTGGTAAACAGCTACAACACTACCTGTCAGTCAGATCAACCACTGCCCTAATTATGCATAACTCTTAGCCTTTTTTTTTTTTTAATCATCCCCTGTACAGTGTGTGAACTATTTAGGAAAATTTTATTTTTTGAAACAGGCTGTAAACACATTTCTTTCATCTGTAAAAATGAGCAGTTTTGATACGGGTGTTATTTGTGACTTCCGGGGCTTTTGCAGCCAGCCTCATATGGACACAAGAGAAACTGTATATTTTTTGCACTTCTGCCTTGGTTTCATTTTTCAACTCTAGAGGTTGTCACTTGATTTACAAATGTTCTGGGAGTGCACCATGGTGCATCCATTCCATGTAAGATTTCAGGAGATATTGGGAAGTGTGGCTTGGTTCCAATCTGCCCATACATTCATGCTCTTGTCTGAGGAAAGGTTTAATATTTCATCATAATGTATGAGCACATGTTAGGAATAATGAATGCTTTGGGAAGGGCATTGGAGATATTGGGTAAATTTTTGCAAAATGTTAAAGAGGCAATATGTAACTTAAATTGTCACATGCTATCAAAACCTAATCCATAGAGTCAAATTATTCATTGCAAGGAAAATTAATAAAACATATTTACATACTCTTTGTCTGCCTCTTGGACCTGTACTCCATCATGTTATGTCTCAATGCGCATATTCAGCCACTAATTATGCCTTCTTTTTTTTTTTGGACTGATCAACCACAGTGATAATCGGCTTGGATGCATCATTGAGCAGATACTGCACGTCTCCATACAAACATCCAGCAGAGCAACACAGCATCAAATTATCAACACATTTTCACACAGTGCACACACGCACACTGTCTAAGCACATATATAAAAGACTAGAAACACATTTATTCAGAGAAGTGCACATGTTCTGTTCACAGGTTCAATGCCCAGAGTGATAATCACTGCTAATGTACAAAGGTGCTGTTGCAGATCACAATTTATAACATGAAATCAAACAGCCACACATGCACATGTACAAACACGAGGGGGCTGGCCGTGAACGTTTAAATGGAGGGAATGAGCTCCAATTATTCAGATGGGTGATTTTGCACAGTAAATGGGTGTGTTTAATTAATTCTTTTCAGCTTTTCTTTCCATCCTTACACCTCTTTCTTTTGTTTGTTTTGCTTTTTAGTTACTGATATTAAAGACATGATTTTCTTCATGAGTGAATCCTGTCCTAAAAAAAAAAGAAATGAATCATATTCTATATATTAAAAAGTAGCTACAGTATTTAGGGAGTACCCTTATTTGCTGGCATGAGAAATTGATTCACATGCTTTGCCATGTGCGCTCTTACTTTTTCCTTTTCGATAAACACTAAGAAAAATGAGGCAACCCATGACAAAACCACACACCCGTCCTGGGGGTTACAACACCAAGCAGACCCCAGCACCACCATGCAGAGACTGACTGTCACGATTTCATGCTTAATTACCAGTTCCTTCCTCTTTCTGGTATAAGTGAGAGGGTGTAGCGTATAAGCAGGGCGCCCCCTCCCTTACTCCCCGCAGTCTGAACATATCACATGGCCGCGGCTTGTGCGGACCTCCGAGGTCTGCGATTGGTCCCTCGCCTCACGGCTCCCCATGGGAATGACAACGTGAGCTTGGAAGCTGAAGCTACAGAGTATATGGCTGAGTGCCCAAGTGTGTCTGTGTGTGTGTGAGCGAAAAGGCAAAAGCAAAGCTCTGGCTTTAATAAGAATATGTACAAAGTGTTGCACACAGGGATGAAGAGGAAAAATATATGTTTAAAGGAAGTCACGCAACCTTTTGTTGACCACTTTGTGTATTTATTTATAAGTGAACGGAGCACCTCTATTACTTTTTAAAATGTAATCTTCACCATTTCTTATACTTGAATTTGTATTGAATTTACAGCAACAATACGTGAAGGATAAAAGGTCAAAAAAGCAACCATAAGTGTGTGTGCCTGTTCATCATTGCTCTGTTTGTGTGTATGTGTGTGTATGTGTGTGAGAGTGTGTGTGAGTGTGTATTTTCAGAGCGATGTATAGAACGATCAATAAGCCATTTAGCACTTCAACTGATTGTAATCACCGGTGAATGAGAAAGTCTCCTGTGATTTTAAAAGTCTTCACAAAACAACTAACCTCCCAAATCTATCCAGTCCTTCGCAAATTACGTAACCACTGCTCGCACTATTAAATAACAACTTGTTGAATGACTCTTCAAACAGACTATTTTTCTTGAGCAGTCCAAAAAAAACCCATCCACATCTGAGGCTTACGTAACCCTTTCCCAAAGAGGCCCGTCCTCTTTATATGGTACATAAGGCAATACAACCCCCCCCCCTCTCTCTATACAGGATATATAAATAAAGGTAGGCAGTTTTCCAGTATCAATCTCTTGCTACCACCCTCTCCAGTGCTTATGTCCAGTGCTTATGTCCATTTCTTGATCATAACATTTGCCAGAAATAAAAATAAACATTTTATTCATTTCGGCTTATTTCTTCTGTTTTTGCATCATTTATTTTTTGTTGTTATCTATTGTAAATAGAACTTAAAACAAAAACCAACGGAATATTGAATCAAATGTTTTGACATGGCGAGAAAGGTGAAAAATAAAACCGCTCAAATCCAATGTAAATGTAAATTTTGACCTATTTACAGGAAAACAAAATCTAAGCACTACTGTAGCTCCATATGTCATGTATGTATTCTTTAAAAGGCTCTTACTGTGTGTCTATAGCCTAAATCATCCATAAATTCACTCTGGGTTTACGTGTTGCTTAAAGAGTCCAATACTCCAACACTCCTCATCTTCAGACTCTGAATATTTACGTGAACTTATGATTTAAAACTTCAATGTGAATCATGTTTTGAATATGGATGACTCGTGTAACAGCTGTATGATAAAGATAAGTTCTCTGTTACTCAGTTTCGAATATATCATATAGAGTCACTCTACTTTGCTGCTGAACTTTTAAAGAAAAGTCACACAAATAGATCAGCTTCCACAGGCAAAATAATAATTATTATTATTTTGTGTGTGTGTGTGTGTGTTACCTTGACCAGGTTGAGGATGATGATTGGAGAGCCAAAGCGCTGCAGCATCTGGTCAAAATGAAGGGCAGCTACATGAGCATATGGGTCAGCTTGGTCCACTGAAAGAGAAGTTCCAGTGGTTGTTTACATGTCATTTAAGTAGTAAAAACCAATACATTTCATCATTGCATTCCATATGAACGTGTTCTCAAAGTGATTCATTTGTCAGTTAACCGCAAAGACGGTAAATCATTTGAAAAGTTAAGTTTAAAAAAATCAATCCCTGGTACCCGCTTCCATGAAAAGAGAATTTAGCTGTAGCAAAATTATGGGGACACGCCAGACAAAAGCACCACATTTTTTTCCACATACTCTCCATCACCATAGCTTTCAATTTTGTCATCAAGATGGCTTCATCAAGATGGCTTCATCAAGATGGCTTCATCAAGATGGCGGCCATGTAAAGTCTATAAGTGCCAATATGTCTTCCAAGCCACTTAGAAAGTCAATCTTGGTGTAAATATATACATTTTCTGGGTCAAGGAATGCATTAGAATACCACTAGATGATTATCTGTGCCAAGATCAAATACATATGTTAATTTTGGCAATGTATTACATAATTTTCCGTGGTTCCTAGGCGGTTGGACATGAATTAATCCATTCTTCTCAAATCTGGTCCTAAGCCACCTGACTATTAGGGTTAATTTATAATTAATAATTCATCCTTTATTGATCCCGCGAGGGGAAATTCAGTTTTACTCTGTGTTTAATGAACATGCTACACAAACATAAGCCGAAATACACACACATGCACAAACAGGATCCTATGGACATGCACTAATGGAGAGGTTTCAGAGTGAGGGGGCTGCCCACAGTGAGCGCTCCAGAGCAGTTTTGGGGTTCGGTGCCTTGCTCAAGGGCACCTCTGCAGTGCTCAGGAAGTGGACTGGCACCTCTCCAGCTACCAGACCAATTTCCGGACTTGGTCCGTGCCGGAACCGGCGGCCCTACGATTCCCAACCCAAGTCCCTACAGACTGAACTACTGGCGCCCCGTTATAACCCATGGAGGCTGACATATGTAACCGATTTCTTAATAACGAAAATAAATCCTTAAAAACTCCTTTCCCAAACTCTGGTTTATTCCCTAAGATAAAAAAGTATGAAAGTAGGTTGATGAGGTAACTTATCTTAATGGGAACAGTTTGCTTCTCTGAGCCACACACTGAGCAAACAAAGACCCCCTGCTCATTGATCCCCCATTTCCTGCATTCACGCCCAATTTTCTTTCTTTCTTCTAGTCATTCTTTATCTCAAAATCATATTTAGTGCCTCCATTTGCCTCTCCTGTGGAGCCAAACACCTGCAGCCTGCTGGCAAATCGACCCAGTGAAGCGTCCAGAAGAAAGATGAAAGGAAACGGGTCAGGTCACACTTTAAAACGACACAAACGTGACACGAGCTCATGCACGTTCTCTCTACAACCATTTCAGCATCACTTTGTCCGCAGGCTTCAGGACAGGTATGAGTTTATATCAACTTAAAGAGCAATAACATTGTCATTGTACCACAAAGAAGGGGATGCTGATAATGACGATGATGATAAAGAAGTAGGATAAGCCATTAAGGTCATTTCCTTCACAACAAAGACATTTGAGCACTTGAGGGCAGTCATAAACTGACATGTAATCACTTATGTAATAACCAGTCTGGATGGCAGCGGTAGAGATGAGCTAATGGTTTGAATTGGTGCACTACACTCAGACACTGAGCTCAAACTGACTCTGACCTAGAGTCGCTGACCTAGATTTGTATAATAGGTGTCATTCATGCAGCTCGAATAACAATCAGATAAATATTACAACTTTACCGGAAGTAGGGTTTTATGTCAGATTCACAATACTCCAGATGGTTGTAGACAAAAAGTAAACACGACATTCATTTTTTAATGTGTTTTTTAAATTGGTTTTCCGTTATTAGGCAGATGGGAAAATAGTCTTTGGGGAAATTCTTAATAGTTTCTATGTTTACTCACTTCTGGGTAAGTGTGTCACTGTACATGTTTGGTTGGCAGCAGAGCACAGATGAGGGCAAAAGCACACAAACAAATTAGGTTACGTATTAAATACTGAAGGGGCAGGCAGGTGTTTTGTATGCATTACCCTTTTAAAAAAAAAGGTGATGACCTAACCAAATTAGAAATGGCAGAAATTACATTTGCAAGGATGTTTTTTCCAGAAGTTGCAAAGAGTTTAAAAAGTAATGATTCAACTAGCTGTGTGAAAACAAGGTCTCCATCAGCATCGATGGAAAACCAACAGACATGTAAACAAAATCAACTCATCTAAACATTCATTTCCTGCCTTTAGATTCTGTCTTTACAAAAAAAACAATCACTGTTTAGATTTACAGAGCAGATTAGTTATATTATGTAGCAAAAAATATATTAAGTAAAAGATAAAAATATCTTTTAATCTCAAAGAATATTTTTACATTCTGAGAAATATTTTAGCTCTCTTGCAGATCTATACATAAGAAACTAGATATCAGTTAAGTACTGTCAGGATGTCAGCATCAACTAGTTCAGAGCGATTAATTAAGGTACCAAATAAATGCCTTATTTTATTTTTTATTTCTTTATAGCATGCTATTTTGTCCCTTTAGGCACACTGTAGGTGAGCCTTCATAACGTCTCCCTGTAGTCACAGTGATGGAAAAGATCGACCTTGCTGCATCATTGAATGTCTCAATTCAGTTTAAAAAACTCCTGGACAGCTCAGATGACGAGTCAAATTAATATCAACCTCATGACATCGAATATTTCGCTTTTATTTACCGTTCTATTTAGCCGTTATAGATCCGTAACAAGTTCCCTTTTCTGTCGTTAATTTAACTTCTTAACCTTCGGTCTACCGGAAGTTCCTTATGTTATTTCAAAATGTTTCTATTCAAACAGGAAGTAAAGTACCCTCCATCTTTAAGACAGTACAATAATTCTAAATAAAAGCATCACAACAATTGTTTTAAATGCTAAATTATGGAACCACAAACTTGCTATTAAAAATGTGATTAATCGAGGTTCACTATTGAAATTCAGTGACTAATCACAATTAAAAAATTATTATTGTTATCATTTGACAGCCCTCCAGTATAGACATATGAGGAGTATCAATCGCTGCACATGAGAGACATTACAGACTTTATTCCCAACCAAACATGAATCATTTCTTGGTTCCTTTTTTTGGTTTTCTCTGCTCAGATTAGTAGTTGAGAATTTAAGTAAATAAAAAGGGAGCGTGAACAAAGTTTGCCAATACCAACGGCAAATTTGTTTCAAGTCACATGTAAACACACAGTTGTTAAAGCGACGGAGCTCAAATCAGGCAACATTTAGCTAAATGTCAGATAAGGACTATGAGGATCAAAGTGAGTGCAGGATGATGAGGTGAGTGGATCAAGGGAGGGATCTTCAGAACATGCTCAGTGTGTCTTTCTCACACAAGGCATGTCATGTGAGGATAAATGAAGGGGCAAACTGGGGTGAAAAAGGATTTGGATTGAATACAGGCATTGTACGAATGAAAGCAACAATGTCATCCTGCGTGTACACACACCAGAAGTCTCCAATGTCATCAGTTTAAGAGACGTCATCAACATCCCTCTGGCTCAGGGTTTGTTCTTTTGTCCAGCTCGTAACGAGTCAGGAGAATGGAAACAGAACGCAGAACCAAGACGGGGGTCGTCCTGCATTCACCTATTTTGTATCATGTTTGTTTTTTTCTATCTGTAGTAGTGAATGGGAAGAAATGTCCTAACATAATACTAATCTTATATTATAATTCAGTGTTCCAATGACATTATTTTCTGTCCCTATAAGGTGGATTCTGGTTGCCCACAGCGGCTCAAATGAATTCACATAAATAGAAAACCCCCCCACTGGGGCACTGCTTGGCTAACCATTCAATGAGGATATAAGAGTATCTTCCATCTGCACTCTGTCTATGTATGGAGACTGCAAGCATGTGACAAAGATATTCAATCAAAGCTTGAGCAGTGTTACTAACTCTGTATGATTTTCATTATAAACAGCAGGCGTTGGGTACCTTAAGCAGGAACTAGCCCATCACTTACCTAAGCTAAGGTACCTTGTTTCTATGATTGAATGTTTACAATATAAAACAGTATGTTTGAAGTAAATATTCTTGCAACAAAGTAGAAAACTTACGTCGTATCGGGGGTTTAGGCATCATAGTTGAAATGTCCTGGGACCAGTAGAGTGGGACAGAACCTCGCACCTGGACGTATGACGAGTAACTTCCCGCGGTGAAAGACATGACGGAGGCGTCATGGACGATTTGCTCTGTCTCGACCTCATTAGCCACGTCCCCCTGGTAAACAAAGAGAAAAGCACAAATAAGGGTTAGAGTTATCAGTTAACTGGCTGACATGATCGTCATCAGTCGATGGATGGATAAAACTTTAGATGTTAAAATTAAAAAAAAAAAATTAAGGCACTCAAAGACTTCATATTAGTAAAACCTGAACCTGTTTCATGTCAATATGTAGAAGAGGTGCATCTAAATGGCCAACAGGGTACCCTGTTCACAGCCTATATGGTTTCATGTGCACATGGCTGCAGGAACATACCATCTAAAATACATTTAAAAAAAATCTGTGGCATACTGAAAATAACTTTACCTTGAATTATTGTGAGCGGACTAAGCTTTTGGCCTGTAGCTTCCTAAGATCCGCCCAGCACCTCATATGTAGATAAGGTGCATCTGATACGATCAAAAACTTCCCAACAGCTACTACTAATATACATAAGTAAAAGCAAACTTTGAAGTCAGTTTCATTGCAAGGATAAGGAGCTGATGCTCTGTAAGTACTCAGAAAAACAAAGGGCCTGTTCTATAGCTAATTTCATAAAACACACTATTCTTCAGTGGATTGACTTGATCAAAATAAACCAACACAAGAAATTCTGAAAGCAATCAGAAAAAAATGAAAGACCTGCTGGTTCTGTACAACAGGGCAAATTCAAGTTGCTGTTAAGGATCATCTGATTTGAACAAAAAAGTTCCAAAGGAAATAAATAAATGATTGTTTTCTGAAGTCTCCAATGTTTAGTATTCATTTTTAGCTTGTTTTATGAAGGAAGATTTGTCATGCAGGCTCATACACAGCCATTATAAATGTTCATAATTTAATTGTCCTGCTATGAAAAGTCAAACCTGACTGATGTGATAAAAGCTGACAAGAAAAAATATCTTTAACCATTTGTAAAACAAAGACTGCTCTACTTGTGAACACTGAACGAAATAGCAGGAAACTATTAAATGTGTGTTTCAGCCTAATCTCAGGACAGCAGTCCAAGAAGAAAGAAGAAATCCATGTTTGTACCTCCACCCACCACACTCCCACACAGACCACTCATGCATACTCATGGAGGAGGCAGCGGGTCAAATTAACCCCCTGTGATCAACCTGAGTCATCTCAATCATCCCGTTGGCCCTCAGCCTGGCCTCCACTATCTATTCTTCACTGTTGCCCAGGCAACCCCCTGTAGGCTACCTCACAGTTGGCTCCTCTTTTGAGGAAGCGGGTCCCGGCAAATTTGCTGGAGCGTCTGGCAATGAGGGTCATGTAAACCGGTCGGCCGTAGATCAGAAGCTCTGTAGAAGGTGGGTTAAGAAGGAATAATCACAACTATAAAACATATGACACACCCAACTGTTTGTCAACACAGACACTCAGAGTTCTTAACTTGTAATAAATATTTTGTACCCTGTCACTTTAAACCCTAACCATGCTCTTGTACAGGACATCATTCTTAAAACATAAACTGTTTGACATTTTAAGTTAGTGGAAAATAATCAAGAACTATTAATAAACACATTTTCATTTTAATGATATGACAATTAGGTTGGTCGGCTTCCGGGTCACGCATAGGTTATGTTGCTGTGAAGCCCTCACCCAATCCCTTGAATGATATTAACTAACAGGGGATCTGAGTAGAAAGCTCGGCAGAATCAAGATTTTAGTGAGTATCCGGCATGAATTTAAAGGAGCTATATGTAACTTTCAGAAATACTGCGTTTGTAGTGATACCACATGGCCGTTAGGTGAACCGCACCAGTAACCTGTTGCTCGCTCTCCCACGCGTGCTCGTCATACGTGCTCGTACGTACACAAACGAGCATCATAATCAGCCTCGAAACACTGGATATTTACCGGCATAATGTTTACAGAGGAGGTAAGTGGTCATACACATGTGAAAGTCTGTGAAGGAGTCTGTGTGTCTGTATTCATTCTCCATCCTACAAACGACAGTCTCGGCAGACACTGGCTGAGAGCAGGAGTGTGTGATGAGTTTGTCCGCCTTTGAGAGCTCTTAGGGCGGATAGAAGTGTGTGGAAGGCGGCCTCTGGCTGTGCAGGTGAAGACTGGGAGTGTGTGATGAGTTTGTACTGTTGATCTCTGTAAGTGGAGTGAGGAGGACGGTGAGAACGTGCATAAAATGTCACTTCCTGGAGCTTTCGCGGAAAATACGACCCGGGGCAACTTTTTATGCACGCAACACAGATAGACAGTGAACATCTACTTTTTCACATCAGTTAACCGTTTGCTTATTAATGGCCGATAAAAAACGATTTATACATGTAAAAAGTTACATATAGCCCCTTTAAGATAAGGATCTGTAACATAGCTCTCAAACTAAATGGAGTATGCGGCATGTGAAAAACACAATGATTACTGTACTATTCTATTTCTTGGCAATTCTTGGTCTGCTTCCTCTCTATCTATGTGTTTTCATACCGGACAGTATTCTTTGCGTCCTCAGGAACTCTTTATGCTCTCTGTCCCTAACACTCAAACAGTAATTGGGAAAAGGGCTTTTGGGTATTCTGCACCCTCAGCCTGGAATCTGTTGCAGAATGACTTAAAGCTCAAGGAGCTGGTGTCCTTAAATGTTTTTAAATCTAAAATGAAAGACATGGAAGCAAGTTCTATAGGATTTCGATGTTTTAGCTCGACTGTTTGAACAACTGACTCCCAAATTTGACTCATAGATGGTTCTATTTTAATCCAAAATGTAGTGTTTTGTAAATTGGACTGTGTCTCTCTTTGTATTTCCATCTGTAACTTTGTGTTTTTGCTGCGGCCCATCTTGGCAATGTCTCCCTTGAAAAAGAAGGTTTTTAATCTAAATGGAACCAACCTGGTTAAATAAAGGTTCAATAAAAAAATTAAAAAAATAAACTTGAAAGTATATATCTGTAAAAAAAAAAAAAAACTTTGTAGATTTGATTTAAAACTACAGGAAATTAGAGGTGAAGCAGTCCGAGGTGTAACTCATGTTACAAATTGAGTGTTATCTGTGATTTCCTGAAACTTAAGCTACATTACTAATGCTCTATGATCCTGTTTGTATGCCCTTTTTGTCGGTTTGTTTTCATCCACCTCTCTCTTACTTTCTCTTCCTCTCTCCTTCAGTGACAATCCGTCTGATAGTGGCAGAAGGCTTTCACCATGACTCTGGTTCAGCTGGAGGATTTTGCTTCTAAAAAGGAAGTCTGCACTGTTGCTCATTAGTAGACTAGAGTTTTGTCTCTGTTAATAATATAACAAAAATGATGGTCTAGACCTGCTCTGTATGTTAAATGAGATGAGGTAGCTTTTGCTCTGATTTGATGCAACACAAATAAAATTGAATGTATTGATTGATTCTTTTATATATGAGCCTGAAGCTATGAGACGTAAGGCACACCCCTACATTATGCTCCGTTTAGGCAGACAAATACTATGGAAACTTAAAAAAAAAGTAAGTATTAGAATTGTAGTATTTTCCTTGACATTTTATGTCATCACCAATGACCATAAAGAGATTTGTGAGCATCAGTTTAAAACATGGTAAAATGACATCTAAATGTTGTCATATAATATTATAAATGTTCCAATAAAAAACAAATAATCTTACAAAGTGTATTCCCTGTGTTTAATTTGTCCACTTTAGCGTTTCTCTCTTCATCTGCTCGCTTCCCTGATGCTCCTCTTATTGAAACCATTTGTCTACTTGACAAACATGTGCTCAGAAAAACCAAACAGAAGGCCAACTCAAAGCACTGAACAATATCACAGTGGCAGCATGCCAGCTGACGGGAGACACCAGTGTTAATAGCAACACTGACTGTAAAGTCCACCTCAGTTAAAACAGCCTGCAGCTGATGAAAAGAATACTGATTTAAAATAAAGGGAGGAACAGGGCTTCATGTTATGTATGAAAAGGAGACTAGCTAGACTGAAATCTGAAACATGAGCCTGAGGCAGACTCTCCCCATTATTAATCAGACTATTTACTCAGTGCTAGTCGAGTCCCTCTGCAGCGGTAGCCCATGCATCATTACTACAAAGTCTTCTAAGAGAATTATTCATGTAGAGCCTAAAACTAATCCCTGGTATGCAGTATGTGTCTAGTCAAAGTTACAACAAAACAAAAATTAAACCAAACGAAAAAATGTGTGTGCATATTCAAACAAGGTATCAGTATTTATTCCCAAAAGAAAATAAAACGTGTACTTCATCTGATTCCATGTGCGCACAGTTTTTTTTTTTCCTTTCTCTACAGATAACAGATGGAGAGATTATGGAAGTGGCAGTGTTTACATACCTGATAACCACTGCTTCATTTCCGTAATACTTGTTTCGCTAGAGCCCTAACAACAAACACAAATTGCTTCGGTACTTTGGTGGTTAATCACACAATCTGGCTCACAGTGTAATCCACGTGCTTTGCTAGAGGCGGCGCACAGTTCAACAAGTGGTGCTGAGGCTGAGAGATGAGGGGGTGTGCCAACAGCAGGTCATTGTGAGAGAGAAAAAAGGTGTCTTTTACTGGCACATTCAATTCAATTGTTGTTGACACACATTACCTCCTGGCAAGAGAGTAAGTGGTGTAGTGCAGGATATACGCAGGTATACGGAGTATATCCATTCGTTTTTCAGTCTCCATAGGGACTAACCACTTCTAAATCCCCTCTGATTCACACCAATGATTGAATGACAATATCTGTGGTCAGCTGGTAAGCTTTTTTTCCAAGGATGGTGAAGGGAGGACGCTCCCTCGTCCCTACTTTGTCTCCAATTGGCTCCTACGCACTTAAATATTCAAAAGGAGTCTTACATGTCACTGTTTATAACAGAGGAAGAATATCCTCTGCCACATAAAAAAAGACCACTCCACTTCTTAAGGCACCACTGAAGAAAGTCTATAAATTTTATGTCCCTTTATTTCCCTTTAAGAAAAACAAAAAAAACAAAATGCTTTAGAAATAACACAAATAGTAACATAAACTAAAACAACAGAACAGCCACACATTTCTGTAGAACAAGACAAACATAACTGATGTGACAATGCTCAAAGGATACTGGACTGGCCACAAAAGCCATGGATGATATACATAAGCCAGTCGTGATGCACCGTGTCCTTGACTCGTTCCAGCAGCTTACCGTTCCACACGTACTTGTAGTACGGCTCGTTCTGGAGGCCATAAACCACTGTGGCAGAGAGGAAGGAACACGTTAAACCTCTGGATTATTTCACAGTGTCAGGTCCAATTGTCAGTTGGTTAACAAGAAATGGAAAAAAAAAAAAAAGGGCTGAGGTGACGTAGGCTAAGTGGAACAGAGGCATTCTTGGAAACATTTGAAATAAGCATTTGCTAGGATATTACAACACACCAATGGCTGTTGAAATGTTTCTGTTTTTCTGTGTTTTAACACTGTATTGGTTCTATGGCAATTATTTGAGAGTAATATAATCAGTTTACAAAGACATGGAAGTTTAGGAACTTCAACCTTCATTTGAAGTAGTTCCACAGCCAGTGTTAAATCATGAGGGAACTCTTTTGGATATCTCGTCAACTGGTTTTAATTTTCTTAGGGCTATAAATAAAACTGCACTGTTTGTGCAATATTCACCTAAAGATCAACTCAAGCTCATTGCTACATTCTAGCTATTCTTGGAGGAAGCAACCCTAACCAATGCTCCGCCCCTTCCCTTTCACCTGCGCTCACCTTGTGTTGGCAAACCCTCCTCTTCAAAGATGTCAAAGCTGTCCTGCTTGCTCTGCTTGTGCACCTCCTCCTCCTGCTCCTCCTCCTCCTCAGCAGAGGACGCTGGTGATGACCACAGTTCATAAGGCCTCTGAAGCAGAGTCAGGTTGTATTGCAGCGAATGGCTCAGGTCATAGCTGTAGCTGCAGGGCACACAAGAAGTCAAATTTGAAAGGAGAACAGCCCGTACTCTCCCATAATGCATTTCAAATTTGGCTACAACTGCAGCAATAGAATTATAAGCACTTTCAGCATATGCGTGAAATTGAAAGTTTCAAGTGTTTATCATACAGACATGACTTGAAGTTGTGACCAAAAAAGTGCAGCGCTTTATGCAAACTATTTAAAATGTTGTTGACATGACTGTTAAAAAAAAAAGTCCCCTCTTTTCTTAATTTGCATCAGCCTAACACTGAGCATTTAACTGTACCCATAGAAAAACAGCCATGGGCACAGGAGATATTTTATTATATCCACAGTTGAAGGTCACATATTATGCAAAATACACTTTACCTTTTTTTTTTTCAATACTAATATGTGTCCCTAGTTTGTCTACAAACCCCCCCAATTATAAATCCATCCTCTCTGTCTTTTGTCTGCCTCACTCTTCAGAAAATGTGTGCTCAAACAGGCCGTTTGGAGATTGTCCCTTCATGACATCACAAAAGGAAGTAACCCCTCCACCAGGGGATGACACTTCCACAGCTAGGTGTTTGTTCTGCCCTCTGAGTCTGCCTTCTCACCGTAAACAATAGGGCATGGAGCGAGAAAGCTCAAGCAACCCAAGCCCTTCCAGAGAGGGGCATGGTCAGACACAGCTCATTTGCATTTAAAGGTACAGACACAGAAACAGCCTGTTCTGAGCCAGGCTGAAATAGAGGGGTTTATAAGTATGATCAAATAGAGGATCATTGCGGATTTTGATCAAGAAACTTCAAAGACATGTTTTTGGGGGTTCTGAGATTTATTTAAACTGGTTGAAAAGAATAATAGTATATATATACTTATATACTCTAAGTTACACAATACCAGAGTACTGGAGGGCAAACATCTTCACAGCTCATATAGATAAATCTAATGCATATTTTTCATTTCCAAAAAAACATTTTTTTATATTTATATTTTGTGACAGAATATGGACTTCATCTTACCTGAAGTAGAAGTTGCTGGACAGGTCCACATTCTGAAAGATGCGAACATATCTAAAAGAGCAGAAACTTAATAAGTCCAACACTCAGGAAAAAAAAAAAGTAATCTATGAAGGGAAAGTATTCATTAATTATTAACTGTTAGATATGTCAGTCTTTGTCTCTACTGTAGACTACATAGAGTCAGTGATGAAAAAATTGTGCTTGTTTGATTAGCAATAATGTTATAAACCCCTATAAACCAATCTGTAAGTGTATTTATTCATGCATCTTTACTTCATGTTTGCTTTGTTTTCTAAACAGTTCAAACTTCATATTTTAAGTAACCTTACAAGTTCTATTTCTTAATTACTTCCCATGGAGTTTTGTAAGTAATGGCTTTTCTCATTTAAACCAACAACTCTCCAACAACTTAAAATAGACTTTGTCATTTTGTTCAATGTTTGTATTGTCACTGGCTGTTGCTGTCATTAAAGTTCTGACTATTCTCTGCTGTTTTTTTAGGCATGATAAACTGCCATTAGACTAACAACTATGGATATTTTTTTAACTCCTCTCCAATATATCCTTGTCTCTTGTCCAATAAGCCTACATTATGTTCTGACCCTATACCCCTCGTCTTGTTTGTCTCAAAATATTTTTTCGAATGATCCGCAGAGTTCTTGAACGAAAACAAAACAGTACCTTGCTTCATCAGGGTGTGTAACCCTGACCGAGTCATTGGGGATGTAGATCATGCTTGTGTCCTCTATTTTGTAGATGGAGTGTCCTCCGATGTCAGCCATCTTTCTACGCTTGGTGATCAACACAATGTAGTACCCCTCCAGGAAACGTACAAACCCTATCAAGTAAAAAACACACATTTTTTAAAAACTTTTCAGAGTGAACATATACAGTTTAGCTTCTTATTAATTCTACAATTTCCTTAGCAGACGCTTTTATCCAAAGCGAGATGTCATGTTATTCAGGTTTGTTATATCCCCAATTATGTCTCGCATAACCTGAGTAATTCAAATAATGCTGATAGAGCCTCTTGAGGATTTTAATAAGTAGGTCGATCTTTATGGTTTGTGCAAATCAGCTCCATGACGATGACACAATGGTCTAAACAGCTCATTGTGGAGATGGAACATTAGTGTTAGTGTGTCACTCACTATATCACCTACACATTCCCTTCTATTTAGGCTCACAATTTCACAGTCTGACCCAGAAAACATCATGCAGCATATCAAATGATTTGAGCTCTTGGTGAGACACGATCACATCTGCGACATTCAGTATATAATAGACTCTTGTATGACTGCATGGGTTTTTTTTTTTAATGGTCAGAATACTGATAGAAATATCTGCCTGATCAAGGCCAGTAGCTCCAGAGGCCTATGTAAGTGTACTTGATAGTGACATATATCTTCTATACAATATTTACTGAACTATTCTGTTGGCAAAAACGTGTCAGGGATATGGCCGGGCAATATGACCTCAAATCAATATCACAATTAATTCAACATTTTACCTTGATGGCGATTAATGAACGATTATTTCCTTTGTTTCCTCATAGTTCACCGACATGGTCTCTACTGTAAATATGCTCACCTATTAATGCTGGGATATGTTTTCTAATGGAAGAGTGCATATCTGATTAACTATTTTGTGGTTATGTATTGAATATTTTGAACTGAAATCAAAGCATCTCTTGAAAGTAATACAGCAGCTTTCAGTTTTAAAGTAGAAATTCCCTTCTCTAAAAAAGTAGAAAATAAATAACTTTCCTTGCAAACAGTTTTTCCGCAGTGTTTACATTTGACCTCTTTTTGTTCTGTGTCATTTTTGTGGTGTCTTGACCATTTTCCATGGTCAAGACAAAATGTGTCCAAACGACGGACATTGCTTCCATGTCGCAGATTGGACGTATCGTTACGTGACTCTAACCGGAAAATAATCGACATGGGCAAGATTAAGTCGGTTAGAGGTTCCAAATATCGGTTTCGATTAATTTTCGATTAATCGCCCAGCCCCAGTCAGGGATGCATTTCCCTACTAAATAAGAAGTCTTTGTACATTCAAACATTAAGAATCAGATGCCCTGCTACCTGTGCGCTGTTAGCAGCCTCTGGAGAGTGAAGATGTGATCAATTTCATGATCGTTGGAAGCCAAAATCACGCTAGAGATTGAAACTCGATTAATTTCCCAGCCCTAGCTCAATCTTAATCTTAAACCCTATTCCAACTGTTGTTTCAAGGCGCGATATTTACACCCCTGTAATGTTTTGCCTTTAATCCTAATGTTGGACGAAGTCTCCCCCCCTTACAGCAGTGTGTGTTTGTGCATGTCTAACAGAGTGTCTATGTGAAGCTCCCGCTGTGCCATACTTCAGCAACACCAATACGCAATCTGAATTCAGAGAGTGGGACAAGAAAATTACACTATCTCGGAAGCCCTCTGAACTATCAGTAAATCTACTGAGGAATAATTACATTCTCATATGCAAGAGGCGTTCAGGATACACTGTACCCCACGTCTGCCTCGCTCTTTATTCCTTATGACATTGTGAATTTGGCAAATAGCGGCTTGTAAATAAAGCAGGCACTCGCCATCAGTGGAAAACCTGTTGGTGTCAGTGTGACCGACCCAGCTACAGCCTCAACAATAAAGGGGAATTACCCTAGCTGAGTTAATATTACGTCCTGAGAGGGGCCTAGGCAATTTAAGTTAACAAATGCTAACATGTCTTATTCTTAAGAGATGGACATTAATACAATGGCACAAACAGGACGAAAGGGAAAGTAGATCAAATCACCAGAACAACTGTCCACATGGGCAGCTTGGCCTAAAAGATGTCATTGTTACTAACTCAGTCAGTCAGTCAGTCAGTCAGTCAGTCAGTCAGAAACCTAGGAGCAGAAAGAAGTATGTCAAGAACAAGTGGAATGATTTGATACTACATTTTCTATTGGCAGTTATTGTCTATAATTTGAAAGGTGACCTTGAGTGCTTTGAAAGGCGCCTTTAAATAAAATGTATTATTATCATTATTATCCATAAGACTTTAGTGATGTTAAACCAATATTACCAAAGATCTACTTGCCAGATGAACTTCATGAATTTTGATGAAAGAGTGAAGCATGGGTCAAGGCAGAAGGAATAACATTTTGAGCTGATCCAGATAAGCTGACAAAAAAGCCACTACAAGTAATCCAACTAATACAGCCAACATTACAAATTCTTATTTGCATATCACTGATATTTTGTGTGGCAATGTTATATCGTCTCATGGATATTTATGTTTTTTTTACTTTTAACTTCTGAAGGGGTTGCAAAATTAATTTTAAACAAGTTGCATTGTTAAGAATTCATGTAAAAGTTCAATTAGACTGAAATACAAATAAAAAGACTGAAGTGAGATGAACAGACTGACATTTTTTTCTTATTTGACAAACCAGTTTTTGATTTAGTTTAGTGTAGTGGACATAATATGCAGTTAAAAAGCACAATACATTGTATCGCAATTCTCAGCATATCACAAAGATTGTCAAAATCGCAATAGAATCGTATCGTGTCTCGAGTATTGCAATAATATCGTTTCGTGGGGATTCTCACCCCTACAAAATACTACTTTGCTTAAGTGTATACCTACAGTCCTGCTAGCATGGCTCTCCACGTTTAATCGTTAGAGTTCCAGCCCTCAAGGGGTAGAACACTATTGTTTTTGTGTGTTAATGTATTATTCCCTAGACCCAGTTAACCAAGGAGTAACGCAAGGTTATGTGCTTGGCCCTCTTCTCTTCACTATCTACACGCTCCCCCTCGGTCTGATAATCCGCCAGCATGGTCTCAATTTCCACTCCTACGCCGATGACACACAACTCTACCTTAGCACCCTTCCTTCCACTAAGCTCCCCCCCAGTCGCTAGTCAACTGCCTTTGGACATCAAAACCTGGATGTCTTCCAACCTCCTCAAACTTAACAGCAGCAAGACTGAGCTCATGGTTGTGGCCCCCAAGGCACTGCTCAGGAAGGTTGGAGAGCTCCTCCTCACTGTGGACAACTCCTCCATCCACCCTTCACCCCGAGGTCCGCAACCTAGGCGTCATCCTGGACTCCACCCTCTCTTTTAAATCCCACATCAAGTCCATCACCAAATCCGCCTTCTTCCACCTCAAAAACATCTCCCGACTCCGGCCCTCACTCCCCGACCCCATCGCAGAGACACTCATTCACGCCTTCATCACTTCACGTCTGGACTACTGCAATGGGGTTCTGTTCGGGCAACCAAACACCGCCCTGAACAGACTCCAATATGTCCAGAACTCCGCTGCCCTGGCAGCACATCACCCCCACCCTCATTCACCTCCACTGGCTCCCAATCAAGTCTCGCATTCAATATAAACTCCTCCTACTCACCTACAAATCTCTCCATGGTCTAGCACCACCGTACCTCACCGACCTCCTCCATCCCTACACCCCGCCCCCGACAGCTGCGCTCCTCAGCCACAGGCCTGCTCTCCACCCCAACACCAAACTGCGATCTTTTGGTGACAGAGCTCTCTCCCCGCCAAAATCCGCACTGCTGCATTTCTGGTCATTTTTAAAAACCTCCTCAAACACCACCTGTTCACCAAAGCATTCAGCCTCATCTAACACTCACCCCAGCTGATCACCCACTTCCTTTCTCCTTCATTTGTTTGACTCTTGTTGTCTCCCATTACGCCCCCCCCCTACTTTGTAAAGCTTTCTTGGGTTTCAAGGCTATATAAATCTAAGTCATTATTAGTATTATTATTAGTCATATATTATTTGTGCCGCTACTCAAATTTCCATGAGATGGAACAAGGTACATACACAAAACTTGGCACAATAGCTGTAAATGATGTGTATAAGCTTCATAGAAATATTAACAAAACCTTAGTATTGAAAGGCCACGCCCCTCATACCGTGAATCAGATCAACTTAAAATTTGACAAACAGGTCCACCTTATGGTGTCCTGCAAAAAAAAAGGCCTCTTGGACCATCAAAGTCTGCCATTGTTGGATCTTCTGCCGTTTCGAATTTTATGAAAATCACATTTTTTGACATCTCCTCATAAACCGTGGGTCCAATTTGTACCATTATGCTATGGATGCTCATTGGATGAAGCTTTTTGTAAAATATTGTTGATATCTTATTTAGTTTTCAAGATAATGACCAATAAACTTCGACAGAGGAGGAGCTTGTGAGAGAAATGGCCAAAACTCATTCAAGATTCGTCCAATCCTCATAGATTTTGGTACAGGTGTTCATGGCATGTCTAGAAAAGGGGATAACAAAGCATTTTGACTCTGACCCATAGGGGGCACCAATAATCTAAAACATGTGTAACCCAAAATTGGCAGGCATATTTTCACCAAAATTTGGTGAGCATGCTCGGGGGGTGAATATTAATCAAAATCTCAAGTGTTATATTGATTGATGAAAGTGGGCGTGGCACATATTTTCTCATAGCTCAAGATCAATCCTGATGAAAGTGACTGGAGGAGACATCTTTGGCTGTTTCCTGAACATACACACTCAGTGTTTCCCATTAATTACATAGACAGTGGCAGCCTGCTATAGTCTAATTTGCCCAACTTACATAACATTTTGATAAGTTACTGAAAGCATTTTTCAGGAGACCAGGTGTAAAAATTAGGGTAAAAGGCCAGAGACCTCGGAGGGATTTATACAGAATGCACCAGGGTTGTCAACAAGTCAAAAACAATTGTATCATTAACATTGAAGGACAGCAGCAACTTTAGTTGGTTTGTTAACATAAAATGAAATATCCAACGTTATATGTAACGATGATCCCGACTTAAGACAATATTGCCCGAGTCCACTTAGATAGCTAACGTTAACACTATTAACAGTTGCTCTGACAGTATAGTTAACTATATATTAGATTAGAAATCAGGGTGGGATCTTGAATGGTTACAGTTGCCCCCAAAGGTTTTCATAGATACAGCCTCTATATTTTGCTCTCAAAGTTCACAAGATGAATGCATTTAACTTTAAAATTAAATGTACACTTTCTTTCTCACAGAGCAACTTTCCCCCCCCACGAAATACAGTGTGATAAGAGACCAATTCCGACATCAACAAATAGGATAGAATGTTATTCAGTGCTTTGACCAAATCTAATATAGGAGAGGGAATTAGAATGAGAATATCTCACATTACCATTGAATCGTTTATGATAGATAGTTGACGACGTAGTAGTAGTTAGGGTTACTCTCACATGATGCAAGCACAGTGTGTGATAATATTTGTGTTCAATAACTGCATGCATCACTCAGACAGGTTACTGGGGCATATTCTTTTTGTGTAAAAGAATGAGCATAGCAGAAATGTAGGTAAGGACTTGCAGCCACATCAATTACTTTCCTTGAGTGCTTACTAAGGTGGAGGATGTTAAAGAATCCTAAAGGCCAGAAGACCGAACACTACGAATGCCTTTAGTTGAATGCAGGTCTGTAGGTGCTCAAGTTTGATAACTTGGTATGGGAGCAGATCACATGAAAATATGTGCCTAAGTCGATCTTACACTTTCAACACTGATTGCTATCAGCAGTACCCATCCTGTGTAATCTAGACGGCGCCCAGTGATATATCTGTGTAATATTAGATATTGAACAAGTTTCCCCCTGCCCTCTCTGATGTTTTTACCCATGTTTGACAGAGTATCTAACCACTCTTCAACACCATGTATTTAATAGTATCAAATAAATCTTTGGATTTCTTTTTGAAGAAGAGATTAGATTGGCAAAATATCTTGAACACTATGTGCTATGTTGTTTGCTATGGCAGTGAGGAAGACAGTGAAGAAACTTTACTCACCAACAATGCCAAACGCTGACACAGCTCTGGACAGGCCTGATGAACCCTTTTGGCCAATCTTGGTGCGGTTACCCAGGTCCAGACGGCCAAGTAAATCCCGTACCTCTTGCTGGTTGTACACATGCTAAAGACAAAAATTCAAACACACATGAAGAGCACGTACACATATAGCTGTGACAAGCTTCAGTTTATTTATTTGTGAGCATAGTCCCCATCTGGTTCTTTTTACCTTGCAGCAACATGAATAACATCTTACATAAAAGCTACTGGTAATGGGGGATTTATTTAATTAAAAACTTAATTCAGAACGGGTAAAACTTGTACAATCTCAATTCCTTTCTCTGCATTAATAATAAGGTCCAATCAATGCTTCCTAATTTTCCAACAGAAGAGTATTCATTGATCCTCAGTGAGGCAATAATGTCAAATTGTTATTCAAATTGCGTAATGATTCAGGTTACGTTCTGAGCTGACTGCCGTTCATGTCAGATGAATGATTTTCTTTATTTGTATTATGCATTTAAAAAAAGAAAAAAATGCTAAGACATCAACAACCTTAGCATGCTGAGGGGGAAGCTTCTTCTTCCCTCTCATAGCGTTTATAAATCGACCCATCAGAGGCAACATAAAATTAGATAACTATGTGTTAAATATGCCGTGGTTTTAATGTGTGAAATTCCCCTTTTGTTGGATGAAACGCATTATCCTGCAAAATCCAATAAGTGAGAGAGGGAGAATAAAATAGCCAATTATGTGGCTCCTTCATCTCACTGGAACAATCTTTATTAATCCCAGAAACATGAGGAGGTTCATAGCAGCCTATATTAACATTATGTGGGCAAGGTTTCTCTCTATATGAACTGAGAGACAATGAAAGATGAGGCTGCATTTCCAGCTTTCAATCTGCCCACCTCCACTTCTTCACACCATTTTCAAGCATTCGTCGCCCTGTTTTTAAAATACTCTACTATGCCAATCAGATAGAAAACAACACGGTATCCCAGGGTCGGTATAATATCTGCTCAAACGAGAGCGTGGGGTGATGGATATTTAGTCATGGGTGCTTCATAATAACAAACACATCATAATCATCCACAACATGAACAAACAAATCAACTCCCTGCTCATAGATCCTGGTAATGAGCAGTGGGGAAGAAAAGGAGGGTGCACACCGCAGCACTCATCAGCTAAGCTGTCATCCACAATACACTCGGGACAGGCTGAGTGATTGTACAATTTCCCCCCAAGCGTACTGTACTGTATTACATAAGCATACACTACATTAGCACTGTACTAACTCTGGTCAGAACTTAGCACTTGCCTTATCGTCGATTATCACCAGGTCCTTGGGTTCTGTGCGGTCAATTTTCAGGACTCGGTGTTTGGTCTGTGCCTGATTGGTCCCCACCAGAAAATATCTCTGGAAAGAGAAAAAGCATGAACGCTACAAGTGAAACATTTTTTCCTATAATGTGCAACTTCTTCTCTCCACAATGAGCCATCAAAGAAGACATTAGGAAGAGAAGCCAATTTATACACAAAAGGAACTAAAGGAAGGCGTGTTTCATACAACTCTATATGATTAGGAACATACACTGGAATTAAAGTAACTACAGCCCAGATTACATGTGGCCCCAGTACTTATCTGATCGAGATGCAACATTCAATTATGTGTCTTGTTAAGCTTTAACAAGCCTTAAAAGACTTTCTTTCAAAGTCATTATTTTTCTCACACTAGGTGTGTGAAATGGCTAAAGATTTCCTGTCCACTAAGGAACATACAACTGGAACATTGAGTATCAGTACAGTCTGCAACTATTAGAGAAAGTTTGTCCTGTTCCACACTTCTAAGTATATAGGAAGCTAGCTTTGTCCACAATAGGAAGATTTTCAGTTTATCTGCTGCTCAGTGAAATGGGTAGACAGAGGTTCAATAAGAAATAATGATAAATACATGTGACACAACATTTCCTTCCTTACCCTATTGATCTTGGACAACAGGTGACAGATTCACATGATCTTAGTAATTGAAAACCTATGAAAAACTATGGCTATTCAAAACATGATGCACAAGAACGTGTCAGTCCAGAGCAGACATTGATACCTAAACCAAACCAAACATAAACAAGACACAACTAGAGACTAACAGCTTATTTTGTCAACGAAATGAAGCTTTTCTTATGACTTAAATCCCTATAATTGGCATTATGGAAGTAATTAGGTAAATAAATAGACTAGGATATACCTTAAGTAGAATATCATCACAAGTAGTATTTTGCTGCCATCTAGTGTTAACTCAGAAGTAAATCCACATCCTACACAAGTTCTCTACTCTTCCTCATTTTGTTTTAAAGTCTGTGGACGGCAAAACAATTAAATAATAGCTTCAACATTGTTCCTTTCTTGTTATTTTATTATCAGAGCAGTTGGCAAGTACACCTCTTTGTATATCAGCTGAAATTAAACAAGAAATGGTAAGCATGAACAACAGAGGATGGATAGTTTTCTGATGACTACTCCCATCCTGTGTGAAAAAATAGCTGTTTCTGAAACCAAAAAGGATACCAAAAAAAAAAAATAGGCTTCGTTTATGCAGCAGGGGGTCAAATGGGCGTCTTTAACATGATGGAGATGTGATGTTATGTAGAAATATATGCACCTTCTTGCAGATGCTAGAGGTAATGAAGTCGCATTTAAGGTCAAAGGTGACACAGTGACACAACAGATAGACTTACGGCTCTGGTTTCATACAGAACCATCTTCTGCATCCCACTGATGAGATCAGCTGCTTGAGGCATGTTTCTCCCTCTAATCCTGTAATAGTCCAGAAGATATAACAGAAGAGCTGCGAGGAAAAGAGCAAATTTACTACGTCACATCTTAAAACACATAACAGAACACACTGATACTACCAACAAAAGCTTCATGTTTTGGCCAATAGCAGATCTAATGAATGTTACTCACCATGGAGTTAGCCTGCTATCCTCGTCAGACACTAATCACCACCAAGGCTAATAATATGCATCTCCTTTGCCAGCTAAAATAACCTTTTCAAACGTATAAATACATTACATATAATTGCAATACGTCCTTATAATTACAGCTAGCATAAAGTAACTGCAACATGAGTTTGTTTTAGTCATGTGACAGTCACGAAAGTCTTCCGCGATCTTGTGTCATCTGATACGGTGGCTCACAGAGTCAAAACAAAACCCTTGACTTGAAAAGGCGATATTATATTATTTCAGTGCTCGTTTATAACCCGTGTCTCTTTCACTCGAAGAAATTCAATAAGTCCTTGAAGTTGTCTGTAATTTAGAAAATACAGCAGTTCTGCCATGACAGTTTATTTCAAGTAAAAATGTAGTTTTTACTAAGTCCCTTCTAAAGTTTTCAGTTGCTATGGTAACCATACCCAACGTAGGATTGCGATACGTGAGGCAAGGTAGCGTCAACACACCGTGTTAAAAGTTTAAAAGGGACAAAATAAGGATGACAAACCACGGTGAGTTAGCTATTAAAATGTATGTCGGATTATGGCTCTCTGATTTTGTTCGTGTTTAACTCCTTTTCTTTGCGTTACTAATCAACAGACCGTTTAGTTGATAACGTCATTGAAGATGAAGCTGAGAAACAGAGTCTTGTTGAGAAACCCACCTGCTTCATCATCATTGGAAGACCGGTAATTCCCCCCTCTGTCATTTACACACGTAAATTACACAACACAACAAAACACAGCATCAGAAATGGTTCCCAAGGGCTTAGTTTTAGATACGTCCATAAACAATGCAGAGTAGGTGCAACACAGCTGTTTAGTCTTCGCTCTACAATTTCCCTTCAGTATGCCCAAAACTGTTGCCATAGTGATGGGTTGACTTGGAGTTTGTGTGGCAAATAAGCATGACATTATTTTGTTAAAAAGATTGTGAATACAATTAGTATCAAAAATACAAACGTTTTTTAATGTTGAACAAAAGTAGGCCTACTAAATATTAAGTTTCCATCATCATTTTTTTTGCAGGGTGTTGGAAAATCCACCTTGGCCAAAAAACTTGCAGAGTCCTGGAAGTGTATTTTAATTGATGGTAAGCACAACACCTGTGTTACTTACTTACTTTGGAGTCTTGAGTCATTTATTAAATCTATTTGATTTATAATATTTCAGATACAGATCTGCTCAACACACACATCAAAAATAAAACAGAGCAAGGCCTGGAGGTAAATTTCAGTTTTTAGCCAAGAAGTTCAGCCTTCCATTTTTATATGAAGTGTTTTACAAGAATATGCATTTCATTCTTTCTCTTTCTTTCTCTAGCTCTTAAATATCCTATTTGCGGGTAGAAGTATACCAGAAGACCTAATTCTCCAGCTGATTCTTGCCAGGCTTAACTCACCAGATGTGGAGCATTATGGTAATTCAGGTGCAGCACGGTGATCGTGTATGCAAAAAATTCTATCATTCATAACTCGGCTATATGGCTACATAATGACACATGTGTTATGATACAGGTTATGTTCTGAGCTGCCTACCGTTCATGTCAGATGAATCTTTGAAGATTCCTGAGCAGATTGAGCTGATCAAAAACCTCAAACTATCACCTGATTTCATTATCAACATCAAGGTCACTTCTATTTACCTCTAGAGTTGTACATATATAAGAAGCAGCAATATATATATTTTTTATCTTTTACTTTTAATGTAGATTTTTCATTAGTCAACATTATTTTCTGAAAACAATTTAGAAGTCTGAGATGAGTTTTATATTGAAATTGAACACCTCATTCTTCTATTAGTGTCCAGATAAGGATCTGGTCAATAGATTGTCCGGTCTGAAGCAGCACCCAGAAACAGGACAAGTGTACAACAGGGATCAGTGGACGCAGAAGGAGGTCTTTAACAAGAAGAAAGAGAACAAGGATGAAGAAGAGGAGGAGGAGGAGGAGGAGCAGGTTTGGCTCGAGTAATTTTATTATGGATTTTTTAAGATTTCTATTGTTATTTTCTGCAAACCCATGTGATACATCGTTTTATTAAGACACAGTGAATAGTTGCTCTTTCTGATTGGTTGTATTTTATTTTTAATATGTTTTTCTATTTCTAGCTAGCATTTGTTTTTCAATGATTCATTCTTATCAAAACCTTGTATTGCTTGCAGAATGGGGAAGAGGAAATCCAAAAGGATATTATTGACCAGATGGTGTGGACACCTGAGAACCTGCCGAGAAATGCTTTTCCCAGAATTAAGATGTACAGAGACACAATGCTCAGACCACTTGAGGTCAGTTACCAAGAGTTCCAGTGAATTAGAAGTTCTTTTTTTTTTGAGATTGTAAAATAGTGCTATTAGTTTGTCAAATTCTTTGAAAAAAAACCCATCCATCTCTATAAGAGATAACCTCAATCTTTTTTGGGGAATCACTTGATAAAGACACTCCTGAGGGATTGAAATAACTACAAACCAGAGTGCATAGCTAAATTTCATCATTGTTTGGATCAGTGTTGCCAGGGGTTTTGCTTTTATGTTTAAGCGTGATCTTTACCTAGAAAACCACTGGCATGTTTACATTGAAAGGGTATTTAACAAATGCTGTGCTATTCTTTCCAAAAAATGCTTTTGACTTCTCGAAAAAGCAGCCAGTGTTTCTGAGACACTGAAGTAGATTATTGTTCACATTTCAACAGATGTCAGACAGACAAACAAAGAGGTGAATCAAATATTAAGTGATGGGTTGAAAACATTTTCCCATCAAGTAAAAAAAAATATATATATATATATATATTTTTTTTTTTTGTAAGCCAGCTGTTTGTAAGTTAATTCATGTTTTTTAAGGACTACATGATAAACCACAACCCCCTCTACTTGTTGGAGCTGGATGGAAACATGTCACCTGGAGAGCTGCACTCGGTAAAAACACTCAGAAGTTATAAACAATCTCAATATAACACACAGCAAGATTTTGTTACCTTAGTATGCTTTTTATTTTTCAACAGCAGTAGTCCTTTGCTTGCTTAAATGCGAGAAATAATTAGTTTGAGCATAAATGAGCGGTTTTGAGTTCTGAAGGATGATTATTGGTCTGTTGAATCTTTTGACTCTAGACTGTGATGTCTCGTCTTGGATCCATGACGCTGAAGTGCGTCTCAGTTCCAGTCCCCCTGCACCAGACTGATGAAGAGGAACTTCCAGAGCATATTGACACAGTGTGCCTTTAATGACAATATTAACTTCTATATAAACCAGTATTTCAAACAGCTGTATACACAATTGATGCTAATGCAATACCCTCTTCAATGAATCCACTTCTCGTAAAATTGAAGTTATTAAATTCTGAATCCATCTCTTCTCCAGGAGGATCTGCTAAGACTCATGTCCTCATCCAGGACAGTGGCCCCTGGTTTTAGATGGAGAAGAAGCCGCTGGGGCCAAACTTGCCCTGTTGCTCTAAAGGAAGGAAAAGTAATTCCTGGTCGACCTGAATTATGTTTAGGGTGAGTCATCTTTTGAAGGCCATGAGCAAGTGTAGGTATCTATGTAACAGTAATAGAAACTGGTAAAAAAAATAATGTCAACCAACTGATTTCAATTCCTTTGCAGCTTCCAGGACAAACTGTACATCCTGTCATCTCAGGAGGCCTACCAGAAGTTTGTCGCAAACCCCCGGCAGTACCTTCTTCCTCCAATGCCCAGGCCTCCTTGCAGAGTTGCCATCATTGGACCTCCACAGGCAGGGAAGAGCACACTATGTCAGCTTCTGGCTCAGCACTACAACGCACTGGTGCTTGATTTGGAGAAACTGGTTCTGCCGGTTTTGGAAAAGGTTGAGCAGGACAGGCTTGACCAAATCAAGGACGAGACAACACAGGTCGCTATTGAGCAAATCAAGAAGAAGATGCAGCAGGAGAGAGATAATTCAGGAAAGTTAAGCTTTCTGGATGTTTTTGTACTTTTTTAAATTCTAACTTCAGATGGCATGCTCAGAATTAATTTTTATAATATTTTTATTTTTTTTATTTCATCAGATGACACCAGTTCTTGCAACGGTAGGACTTTCAGACATTAATATTCAAATATTTTCTTTACTCTCTTGATGTCTACCTGAACCAAACCTACGTTGAGACAAACTGACATGGATAGATAAACATTTAAATCAGAAACTTTACCTGTACTGCACAAATCCCAAATGGTTTTCTCTTTCATGTTTTGTCAAACTGTTTGAGAGATCAGTGTTAGAGTTTATGTGGTGTGTATATGCAGGTATATGTGAATGTTTTTCTCTGTGATGAAATGTGTTCTCAGTTACAGAGGATCATCCAGAGGTACAAGCAATGGTTCTGACTGCGTTGGAAGAAGCCAAACAAATGAGTACAAGTCCCATGAGCCTGTATACCGAGGTACTGGAGAAGCGTTTTAAAGAGGTATGTCAAAATGTGAAAACTGCAGTGGAATTTATCCAACCTCATTCATCCTACAAACTATCAGCATATTTGCATAAACTATACATAAATATGTAACTAATATGCAGTCCCTAATACATTTTTATCCATATTATTGTGACTGCTGTAAGATTTTTATGTTTAAACCGAACAATAAACTTTTTGACTTTAAGTTCACTTTAAACTTCTTTAAATCATCAAGGCAGTGCTGTTGATGTTACAGATTGAGGAGGCTGACTCTGATTCAGATGTCAGGACTGGATGGGTGCTGGACAACTTTCCCAAGAACTATTCACAAATCAACGATTTACAGAAAGCAGAAATCCTGCCTGACACCCTCATCTGTCTGAGCGACAGTGATGGAAATCAGGGTATGACACTCAGAAACAATTCATCACACACAAGTTGCTTTTAGAACGTCTTTGTATCTTGTATCACTGACTTCAATGTGTTGGTCAGTTTTGAGGAGATTCTATGAGAAGAACAAGGAGAGCGTGGATGAAGCTGTAAGGAAGAGGTTGCAGGACAAACAATCTCAGAAACAAAAACAGGATTTGTAAGTATATGCAATTAGAGTGCATGGATTGTGCTTTTTAAAAAATATATTTTTTATTTGTTTGAGTTATTCATCTTTATTTTAGAAAGCAGAAGGAGCAAGAACCAGAGGGAAAGGCCACAGCTGCAGAACTGCAAACAAATCTAGAGACAGTTGTGGAAGAAATGGAAGGTACA